CAACAAATAGTATAAATGGTATTAGGACTAAGGCTAGCGCTAAGACTCGTCTGATGTATGACCAGTACCACTACCAACACGTGGACTAAGATGAACACCAATCCAAAAACGAACACGAACACTAATGCTAACACCAATACCTGCACTACGACTACTACTGTTAGGCATCACGAATACTACCAAATGCTAGTACTAGTACAAATACCAAATCGACTGCTACTGATAATGCTCGTGCTCAAGCTAATGCAAATATTGAAGGTATACATCAACACGTCAAGCCTATTCTTGCACGTACGTATGCATAATGCGCATACACGTACACGTATGTGTATGTGCACTATACACACGGACACAATCCCTCCGTCTCTGTGCCTATATCTACATGTCAACATTTAACTGAATATGCCGGAATATCAACACCAAGACAACCTGTTCCAGGCAATAAATTATGACATATACAACCAGAACAGAAAATCCCGGATTGGTAAAACATGTAGTGTTCTTGCAGTTGTAATTTTAACGCTACGCCGCCCGCCTCGGCTCTGTAGTGGCAGGGGTTAAGGCCTTCCAGCCATGCCGCCCGGAGCAAGAAAAAACAACACAGAAAGAGCCTGAAAAGAAAGACAGGCAGTGGATTGACGACGCAAAAGCCAAAGCGGGGGCGAGGAAGACGAAACGAGGGTCGGGGAGAAGAAGTGGGAGCAGGAAAGAGGGAAGAAAAAGGGGGAGGGGGGAGGGAGGGGGGGGAGGGAGGGGGGGGGAGGGGGGGGGCAGGGGGGGAGGGGGGGGGGGAGGGGAGGGGGCGGGAAGGGAGGGGGGTGGAGGAAAAAAAGAGGGGGGAGGAGGCCTGGGAGGGGGCGGGTAGGCCCGCAAATCAAAGAAAATGAGGGGAGGCCGGGCAAGGGGGTGGCAAACGAGCGCAAAAACAGGGTGTCACCAAACATTTCGGCTGCAGGGAGGAGGATTAGGTGGAGGGTACCTGAGGTAACCACCAAAACGCCTGGGCGTGTGGCCTCGGCGGATATAGTATCATGGCTTACATGATACATATGTATATATGTATCGATCGATCATTATGTAGGTATGTATGGATCACTGGAAGGAGGGACGGAGGGATGTGTGTATGTATGTGTACGTTCACACACTGCCACATACATATTGTGTAAACAGAAGTTCGAGATATCTCCATCGCTTGGCCGTAAATTAGGACCATGCAAAGTTGATTTCCGAATGGCTTGCCACAAGACAAGGCCTGCGACGCCTTGGGAAGGGAACCAAGGACGAAAAGACAAATTTTCGCAATATCCAAAATTCATTTTTCGCGGAAGTAGTCAGATGAAGGCCAAAGGCTCATGCAGCCGAGGCAGTCTCAGCTCGGCAGTTCTGCAGCGGCTGAGTCGTCCTTCTTCGTTCCAGAAAGCAGCTTGGTGTCAGCTGAGTTCGATGTGCAGCTCCAAGTCGATGTGGGATTTCGGGTTACTTTGGTCCAGCCGAAGTTCGGTCCGATCCTTGATTGGGTGTGCGGCATTTATTTGGTCATGAAGTTTGGCCTCTGCTCCGCCAGGCACGCCCATCCGCAACTTCACAACTATCCTTGTGTGGTTCTCAGTCGATCAGCACCCGGCCGCCAGTAGAGTGCGAACTTATCGGCACCGTATTGAGATTGCCAGTTCCATTACGACTACCCATGAATTCGGATCTGGGCCACTACTACCCCTGCCTGGCTACCATGGTTGCGGCCAAAAGAGTTTTGCAAGAGTAGTTTTCCCAGAGCGGCATCAGTGTATATCAGTGTCATGCGCATACATAGTTTTTAGTTCCATCTGACCCCTCATAGTCGCTGCGGTGATGCACAGCCCACATTGTCATTGCGCAGTTGCAATGACAGCATTTGTTTTTCGGCGGGGGGGGAAATTGGGTTGTTCGACCCTACATGTTCCGTGTGTGCCCAGCATGTATCCTCGTGGCTGTGGCTTTGGCAGATCGAAGAGGCCCTTGGCCCCATGGCGTGGACGTATGGAGGCTGCATGCGAAGCCCAACCTCCAAGAGCTGTTCGAATGGCATGCTGTGGAGGGACGCTTGGATGTGAGCGGCTTCACTCGGCTGTTGCAGGTACAGCGAGAGTCAGATGGTTTCAAGGACGACATATCAGATGCCTTCTCGCTCGTGCTTCAAGCCAAGATCTTCAATCTGAGCACAAATCCAACCCTGGAGCGGGAGGACTTCCTAATCCCGTGCCAGCAGGATTTTTTCCCAAACCGCAGAAGGTGGTTTGCGGAGTTCACTCTATGGAGCTGTCTCAAAGTTCGGAGGCAGACCTTGCCGAAGGGTTCTGTCCACTACGCTATCTTCCCAAGACGGAGGCGAGGTTTGTGGCAGCGGTCGGCCGCAGCATGGTTGAATAGTGTAACGATCATGTGAGCTACCGCGCAAAGATTTTACAGACACTCCTGCTACCGGCGCCACCACCACCACCACCACCACCACCACCACGAGGTGGCTACCAAGAGGAGTCAAAGGAGTTGTCTGTCACAGCCATGCTGCCCCGAGGCTGCAAGATTTGGGGCGCCAAGCAAGCTACTGTGCGCTGTTCCTTTCCCGGGAAGGATTCGGGGCAAACAGGCCGTTTGGCTGTGTTGGTTACTGGCATCAAGGATCGCTACTACCCTCGAAGCGCTTTTAAGCATGTGGTCGCGCCAGCAGCACGGCAAGGCTACGAAGTAGATTATTTTGCATTTTTGGACTGGAGGCCCTCGCTGGCTACCAACCGCATCACTGGAGAAGCTATCGGTGCCTTCAACCCGATGCATGCCGACAACAATCGCGAGAACAGATCAGTCTCAAACCCCCAAGTCGCCAATGAAGCTTCATCACCCGGCTCGCACGCGGCTCCGGCGCAAGCTTCCTGTACCTTCAGTTCCCGCACGCGGACTGCAGGAAGATCCGTCTGTGCACGGTTGCAACCGTTACCTTGGCCGGGGGAGTGCTGAGGTCATGGACTACAGAAGGACCCGATGTACTTACAAAATTTTGAAGTTTTTTATGGAACCTCGCACAGGAAAGGTTGAAGCGAGAAGGCCTGACTGCCTACAACCATGTGCGTTGGCAGCGAGAGGATGCACATTGGGTCGACTACTTGCGCCTGGAACTTTTTCGGAATCCTTGGGCAGTGTCTGGCATTTCCGTGCACGGCGTTTGCAACGCTGTTCCGAGCTTTCCCACAGAAAGAATTATCTCCGACGAAGTCTGCCTAGTGGGCGGAATAGCCGCCATGTCCTTTTTCATTCTGTACGATCTGGTGAACCGCGACAAGCCTAGCCGTGAGCTGAGCCAAGTAGAGAGGCCGGAGCAATTCATCGTTGAGGCCACTCAGGCTCTGGGCGTAAAGTTCCACGAGTTGCCATGGAAAGCCTTGCCGGTCATCACATGAAGATCTATCGCTATGCAGACGTTGAGGTGGTCTTCTGTTGACGTTCTCACGATCCTGTCTCTTTCGTCCCAGCGGTTCGCAGGTTGCTGCCAGCATCGTGCTGCACCGGGGTTTCGAGGAAGTCTCAAAGGGTTTGCATGACCGTCCAAAAGCCACACTGCTCCGTGATTCCGCGCAACTCTATGTGGCTGAGCTGCTCTGCTGATGGGGAGCTTTTGCAAGCATCCAAGTCTGCAGAGTTCGGTATGCCTAGTGGGGATTTAAGCAGCACCCCAAACCAGCACAATCATCAGCAACAGCAGCCGTAGCAGCAGCGGCAACAGCGGCAGTAATGCATCAGTAACAGCGACGGGGAAACTCTTCGGCACCGGCAGCATCAACAGCAACAGCAGCCCAAATGCCACACCAACAGCAACAACAACAACTGCAGCAGCAGCACCCACAGCAGCAGCAGCAGAAGCAACAAGAGCAACACCATCATAAAGCCGTTATCAGCAACCACAATGGCAATACCAGAGCAGCAACAATTGCAGCTCCCGTCGCGATCACAGTCGCACCGCCAGCCTGTTCAGCATCAGCAGGGCCTTGGTAGGGGCAACAGAAACAAGTGAATATGTGCATCACTTCTGCAGCTTTGGGTGCGTCTCGCCGCGATACCTTTGCGGACGCAGAAACGTTTGAAAACACTGTCATTTTCTTTTGCAGGTCTTCGCTACGTCTTCAAACATGACTCAATCGACGCCGACGTCCGTGAATGTCACAGATCGGGATGAGAGCGTGTGCGCCTGAGTTTCTTTGTTTTCCAATGCTGGGGCTGGAGCTGTGTTTTGTACAAGCTTTGCGCGCAGACAAAGGTAGATGACACAAGCTGACTGTGCCGTGTGCTAGTGCAGTGCATGCAAGCGCTTATCGCAACTCTTTCGGCTATTCCCACCTTCTGAGTGAGTGGTCTTCGTCAAACCTTTCACTGACCGGCCATCAGCCGCAAGTTGTGCCTGCCAACAGGTTTCCAACCTCAGATTCGAGGACTACGATCTGGATAGCTTGGACATAGGTGGTGGAGTCCGCTTCTTAGCATCGACAGGTTGCGCAATGTAGCGTATGGTGATTCTGCGTTATGAGGTGTTATCTGAGTAAGCCAACCTGCCTGAAGTATAGCATCTTGCCGAGTGCCAGGGGAACACTGACCAGCCTGTTGTGTATGGGTGTCTTGTGTTATGTGGTTGTCAGGCTGGGGTGCTGTTCAAAGTTGTTCCCGTCCCTCAACCAGCATGGTAGTCTGGAGGCGTACAGCCAGAAGAGACGAGGGCTCAACAACAGCAAGTTGCGTTGCATACGCTCATGTTATTTATCGCACAGATGTCAAGCAAAAAGCAAGCATCAAGCAGAAAAGCCTGGATGCCAATCGACTACCGTTTTTGATGTCTCGAACGTGCTTGTCAGAAGGTCCAGCCAGCAAGCAACATGCAAAATCCCAGCCTTTCCTCTGATCCCTGTTCTGGTAGACACCGTGGTGCAAGTGGCACAGGGACGCCCCGTTACCCGAGTCCAGCCGTTTGCGCACCACAAATGCAAGAAGTGATCAAGACAGAAGAGACGGCGAGGAACCCCTTCAAAGATTTTTCCGGAGAGATGAGCACCATTTTTGGTGGCTAGTGACACCCCCAGGTGAACTGGACTGCTCCGGATCCTCTGGAGGGGACGAAATTCTACTCCATCCAGCTGGAGTGGGCCCATGGCCTAGACTTTAGCCAAGATTCCGAGGACGACCGAGTGAAGGTTGTCTGCATCGACTCCTGGTTCCTGCAAGTGTGAATGGTCATGCAGGGGCTAGCTTCATCGCTGGTCGTGGTCGTGATGATTGTCGCGCTGGTGATGATGATGATGATGGCAAAGAGGATGATGGTGATGATGTTGATGATGTTTTGGAATCTCTATGTTGATGGTTGACCGCGGTGATCCTGAGCATGCCAGCGATGCTTTTGTTGATGCTGACGAACACTGTGCTTACAGTTGCGACTGCCTTCATGGCTCATACGGGATAACTTCTCCACAGCTCATGCTCTGGCCGGGCGTCCATGCGCCCCTCGAAGAACAGGCTTTTCCTGAGAACGAATGCAAGCATCTTTGCCCCAAGCCTAAACTGGCACAGCAATATGTCCGCCTCAGGCTCCTCTTCTAAGGGGCATGTTGAGAGGCTCTGAGAAGCACATCTACGAAGTTCACGCGATTTGACGGGGGAAACAGAGCAAACTATGAAATGTCAACTTGTTGGTACCAGAGCAGATGACGAAGCTGAGGACGACGTTCGAAGCCATGACGGCATCTTACTGGCGATTGTGATGAGGGTGACGGTGGTGACGATGATGGTCATGATGACGACAGTGGAGATGACGATAGTCGATAGTGATGATAATGATCGTGATGATGACTACGACGTTGGTGACGATGACGATGGTGACGATCATGATGATGCCGCCGCTCTGAGAGCGGGATTGCGGCTGAGGTGGAGCAAAACGCCGACGTATGCAGAGACGATGACGTAGCCATGTCACATGTCGTGACGACGATGATGATGAGGATGATGATGATGATGATGGTGTTGGTGGTGATGCCGCCGCCACTGATGGAGCAAAATGCCGATGTATGCACAGACGATGAGGGAACCGTCGCATGTCGTGACGATGATGATGATGAACACCGATCAAGACGTACACGACGACGAAGAGGATAATGGCGATGGTGCTTGAATCGCGACTGGCATGGTGCCGATTGTGGTTGTTTCACTCGTGTTCTGACCGCAGCTGTTCATGTCGTCTTACTTCTACTACTTCTATTTTTCAATATCTATTTGCTCTTGTCTCCGCCCAGGATCGAAGCTTCGAATACCGGAGCGTCATCGCGGAGGTTCCCGTGGGAGAGGTCGACTACCAAATCCCTGTGGCACCTGGCCTGGCCTGGCCGAAGGGGAAGGGGGCGTTGTGACACGTTGAGTGCTTCGCGCGTGCCAAATCCGACGATTAAAGGGCTGTGATCGGGCAGTGGCATGGGTAGCTGAAAGCAAACACAAGGAGCGAATGCAAAGGTGTGTGTGTGTGTGTATGTGTGTCTCTGTGTCTCTGTGTGTGTGTGCGCTGGACGCTGTGAGTTCCTCCAACTCTTTGTCTCGACACTGTTGTGTGTGTGTGTGTGTGTGTCTGCGCGCGCGCGTGTGTGTGTGTGTGTGTGTTGTAGCTTCGCATTGATATGTGTACTTGAAGAGCATCAGTTGAGACGTGTCCAAGGACACCTATCTTGGCACCTACCCTTACCTTTACGTCTTCACCAAGCCCCTGGCAAGCACTGGCTTGCTGTGCATGCCGTGACATTTAGCAGTAGGCGTTCCGCAAGGTCGTTCCTTTTAAGGGGTGCTTGTTTTTTTGAGGAAAGCATGTCGAGGTCCTCGCTCTTTGAGCAGACGACCCCGGTGGGCTTGAAGGTGAGTGACACCTCACCGCAGATCACCAACATCGAGTTCTCAGATCAGGCGCGGAGCTCGGAATCAAAGGGCCAGGGTGAAGCAGACATTGGATGCCGGAACGTGATGTTTGCTCGTAGCTGACATTCGCCTGCAAGTATGGGCGTATCGGCAACCCGTCCATGCCAGACAGTTCCATACCCTGCGATAGACGTCTCAATTCCAGGTGGTCAGGTCAAATGAGCCGAAAAGCCCTCAGCACTCGTCCCTTCTGCCTCAGCCCATGATGTCAACGCCGATGGGAAGAAACAGAGCAGCAAGCGAGAAAGATAGTACAGGAGACTCTCGCTATGACCTACCGATCACAAATTCTGCAATTTTTTCTCGATTGAGGACTTGGACGTGGACGAGATCGGAGGAAATCTGACCTGGACAGAGCCGCTCGTTTCTGACTGTATGTGTTATTCATGCCTTGCACATGCACTGACGTCCAACTGTCTTGACTGGTAGGCCGGTAGGCCAGTCAGATGGACAAAACTCCGAAGTATTGCATTGCTGTCGCGGAGCTCACTATCACTTCTGTCAGTGCTGTTATTGATACTGATTCATCAGAGCCTCCACCATCATGGCAAATGCCCCCACCTCACCGCCGCCGCCGTCACCACCACTGCCAGCAGCAGCGGCACCACAACCAGCAGCATCAACAGCAGCAGCAGCAGCAGCAGCCGCCGCAGCCGCAGCAGCCAGCAGCAGCATCAACACCACCACCAGAGCAGCAGCAGCCGCCAGCAATGGCGCCGGAATAGGAGTAGGAAGAGGAGGAGTGGTAGGAGTGGTAGTAGTAGTAGTAGTAGTAGTAGTAGCAGCAGTAGTCGACGATGCAACTATGCAAGACAATAGTAATCGTCTCGGCACACTGGCTGAAGAGCTTTCGGCGAAAGAAAAACCACCAAAGAGTGCACCAATATTGATAGCCGCGTATCTACCATGAACGGTATATGTGTGCGAGGCCTGCAAATTGGACATTGGTCACGCACTACTACATCTACTTTGCCAAGGAGGACCTTGTTGCTGTGGGGATAGTGCTAGCGTTCTTTGCCAGGCAGTTGTGGCAGGTAAGGAAACGAAGATGCATTTGCAGGACACATCCAGTACTCGGCGGCTGGCGAGCGTCGCCTCCCCGGGTTGTTGGAGCTCACGCGGTACGCAGTCTGTAAGCTGCAAGATTGCTCATTCGTATCGTCGGCGGAGCAGCGTTTTGACGTTGCCGAACCGGGATCGTCCTTTTGGTTCTCGTCTATCATTCTCAACATGGTAATAATAACCCTGACGCATTTCTGGTGGTGCTAGGCTGCCATAAGCATGGCAATTTCGCTGAGGTGGGAGGTGGCACCAATGCCAGCGACATCTCGGGTGGCTGCTCCAATGTCACGAACGGCTCCAATTTGCCACAAACTCAGCTGAATTAGGGCTCGCAGGTTTCAGGCACAGTTCCAAGACAGGCACAACCAGAAGGGGCATGCATGTGCTTCTTCTATGCGCCAGGTCTGGTTGCGAACTTGATGAAGACACGTCCACCTCAACAACTTCCAGTTCAACCTCATCGACCACAACGGCCATAACACAGACGTCTACGACATCTTCCACACAGCATCTCGCCATGACGGGGACGAAGTCCCAGCACGGTTTCGTTTGGCACACCCTGTCAAGATTTTTACACTTTGTCTGTGACGAAACCAGGTATCTCGAGGGTCCACAGACGAAAGCCACAACCTCGAACACACGCTCCAAATCCCAAAACTTGCCTCGTATGCCTTGTCATCTCTTTCCAGATCGCCGCACAGCAAGGACGCAGACTGCGACCTCAACAACCTCCACCACCACAACAGGACCGAGCCAGCACCTCTCCTTGGCGTCACCCGCGGCTTCGTGCTTGGGTCGTGGTGAGTGCGGCCGAGTCCTTCAAATGCCCGAGTGCCGACAACGTGCAGTGTGCAGCCTGCTTCAGGATTCACCGCCTTGACACGGTCAGCTCGCGAGCACTCCTTCGTCGACCTGAACCTGTATGCCACGGTCCTTTGGCCTTGTTGAGGTGACGATTAAGCATTCGAGATAGAACTGCGCGTTATCTGCTATTGCCACAGAAGGAGGGTTTCGATGTTGTCAGCTTATGATGTGTTTGTGCCCCGCATGCCTCTTCCTTTTTAAGCTGCTGCCGACCATGATACCAGAAGCGGTGTTTTGAAATATCCAGAATGCTTCAGTGTGCGTGGGTGCTGCTATGTACAGGAAGCCTGAGAGTTTGCCTGAAAGTGCCTGCGAGCTGAGGAGAAACTGCCGGCGCGCTGTGCTGTGGCGGCCTCAAAGTTGTGCCCCCTGCTCTTCATAGGCCGCAGTCCTGGAGAGCGCAGGCGACACGCGTGACATGACGTGGACAGCTTAAGCGCTGCAGGGGACATTGTCAGACGCGTTTCTTGCAACCCGCAAGAGATTCAAGACTTCGCCGAATCATGAGCTGGACCCGGAAGCAGACGAGTCGCCGAGGCTCAGATTTCGATCGTCGGCACCAATGCAGACCCCTACCTCCCAGACGCCAACATCACACTGTCCAGCCCTTGGGTGGTAGGCTTTTGAGGGGGTGTCCGAATTCGGAGAAGTTGAATTTAGGCCACCACCGGTGTCGTTGAGGTTTCGACTTCCGGCTGCAGCGTTCCATCCTAAAGGCCCTTAACTCTGAGCCCCTGAGCCAGGAAGCTGAGAGTTCATCGGTTGTGATAGTTTGATTTGTGTTTCGAGAATAGAGCATCGTGGTGGAACTGATGATGGTGACCGGAGATGTGATGCATGATGAGATGTGTAACAATCGTGGTGACTTGATGTTAGGCGAGGCGCTCTATTCGGTGATGAATGTGGGCCATTGCAAGGTGGTCAAACGCGCAGTGCTTGTTGGTACCGAGAGGAAATTTGCGGTGGTGTCACGGTATGTGTGGCGCTCTGGGATGGGATGGTGATATGATCTGATCTGATCTGGCCATGCAAGATCGGCAGACTGTCGAGGACAAGTTACATGACATTGTGAAGGGTCATCCAGTGGCATTGTGGAGCTCTAACGCAGCCTTCTTGCGCTGGTTTGAAGCGTCCTTGACCTTGGGGTTTCCTTGTTTCCTCTTGTTTCATTGTTTGATGGGAAGATTAGTTTGAGGTCCAAGCTTCCCGAAAGGATTTCGGGTGCGGAGCTCCTCACTTCGCAACCAGGTCGAACCCTTTGCAGGCGGCCAAGAAGCCCCAGGAGGGACGCCTCGACGGGAGCGGCCAGTGCCATGGTTTTGTGAGAAAGCTAGAGTTAGAGCCTGTAGCAGAAGAAGTCCTTTTGTCCTTTTTGATGTCCTTTTTTGGGGGCCGTTTGTCAGCGCTGTCGCCCGAACCGAGGTTCTGCAATCTCGTCCTCAGAAAAACAACGTACATTGAGTTCGACTTCGGCACTGACATGCTGTGGCTTGGCCTTGACCTGTGGAGGCACTGCCAAACGGTTGTTGGTCAGATCAATTCTGACCTCCTGAGCCCTGCTCGGACACTCCGATATCAGGGTGTACAAAATCGTAGGCTTAGGCAGAATTCTCGTGCTTGCGCGGCCTGAACACATCAGAAGCCACATCAGCAGCGCTCAGGATTGAAAGGATAGAAACCAAGGGCCGTGAGACGATCTTCCAGTGGGCCTCTCGCCTGCAACCTCTGAAGCCTTTGTGGAGGTGCCGTACGAGGTTTCTGTTTGAGTTGCTTGGGACGCCGGTGATGCTGAGTGCGGTTCTGAAGGCAATTAAGGAAACATCGGCGGGAATGGTATCGATTTCATTTTGGATTTGCTGCTGATAACGAGCATACATTAGAAATTAGAAACCCTGACCATGATGCTGATGGCGACGGCTCTTACCGTGGTGGTGGTGGTGGTGGTGGTGGTGGTGGTGAGGATGATGAAGGCGATAATGCCTCTGTATGCTATGCATGTATGTATGGATGCATACGTGTTAACTGTATGTCTGTGTATGTGTGTATATTATGTATGTATGTACCTGTGCAGGTACGTATGTATGTGTGCATGTATGTATGTCTGTGTATAAGGGTCTGGGATCGAGCGGTCAAGAGCGACCGTATCGCCTGGGACCCCAGAACTCCACCTAGGCTCTTCTGGGCGGGGTTCGGCATGCGATGTAGCCGACTGAGTTTGACGTTTGGCTTTGCGCGCAACTGGAGCCTAGAGGGCAGCCGACTGCCAAGCAGCAGTTTGGCTTTTGTCTATACGTTCAACCGGAGCCTCCTTAGAGGGGAGCCGAGTACCAAGCAGCCTGCGGAGTTTGGAGTTGGGCTATGCTTTCAACTGGAGACTGGAGGGCAGCCGACTGCCAAGCAGCCTGCAGAGTTTGACGTTGGGCTATGCGTTCGACTGGAGCTTGGAGGGCAGCCGGCTATCAAGCAGCCTGCGGGGTTTGATGTTTGGCTATGCGTTCAACCGGAGCCTAGAGGGCAGACGACTCCAAGCAGCCGGCAGAGCTTGCTGGGTTACCGCAGAGAGAGGGGCTACCAGTCCGAAGCCGTCGGCTCCTTCGACAACAAGTACCTCCTTCACGTCCACGAAACCGTGAAGGAGGCCGTGAAAGCCTTCGCCGAATGCGGCGGGGAGTACCGGTGGGGAATGCCACTGAGCTGATTGCCCCCTGAGTAGTCTGTATTGTTGCTGCACTCTACAGTAGCATGTGATGTTTTGAAGTTGAGTTCCCAGGGTTGCAGATCCAAAATTGCTGCCGCCCATACACACTGAGATGCTGACCATGCGCATCTCATCTGTCAGCCAGTTGGCTTGACGCATTACGGCATGTTCTGTGCATATCTTCAGTTTGACGCATTACGGCACGTTCTGTGCATATCTTCAGTGCCTTAGTGTTTTTGTTTGGATAGTTGTTTCCTTTTCGCTTGGCACCAAAGGGTGCATACGCAGTCACTGTGCCTTTAGTGTGGCCTTGCATGAGGGCCCCTGCGGTAATGGATGGCCTCCATTGGACCCGACTGTGAGGAACTACCTGACGCTTCACGGTATGCATCATGCCTGCTGCGACTTTGAGCCCCGAGTCCGAGTAGATTTCTGCTCCGGGGCATTGGCGTTTTTCTCGCTAGCCGAAGCGAGGCGCTTGAGGGGCCCACCGCCTTTTTCAGGTGGGGTTTAATTAGGTGCAAGCCAATGGGCTGCGTCCGACTTGTGATTCTGTGTCCCAAAAGCGAGAAAAGCGTGTCTGTGTATATGTATGGCACCTCCCCCAGAATCCACTAAAGGTGTGCGCATGTCTCCTATGTCGGTATAGTCCTGGTCTACACACTTATCTCGTATCTGTGTACATGTACATGCCTATACGAACGTACGTGGTGGCATACTCGTATCTGTGCATGCTGCAGAAGACAGACGTACATCAGAACGAGCGCGCGCAATCAATTAAACAAGAAGTTCACCCTATTCCCCGAGGCGGGAAACCTTAGCAACCGAAAGCACCAAAGTCCATGGGCCAAAACATGAGCAATTTCCTCGAGACAGTCCACAAAACAAAAAGCCAAAGATTTCGAGACTTCGCAGAAATCTGTAAAATGAGCAGATTTCTGGAGACAGTCCCCAAAACGCCAAAACTACCAAGCCCCACAGGACACAACATGAGCATATTGCTCGAGACAGTCGAAAAGCCAAAAAGCCGAAATATTCCAAGCTGTTCCGCACAACTTTGTGTTTGTTCTGGGGACTTTCTAAATCTTTGTTTTATGTGTTTCTTTTGGGACTGTCTCTAGGAATATGCTAATTTCTTGGCTTATGGGTTTTGGTAGTTTGGCATTTTTTTGGGTTGTCTCGAAAAATATGCTTGCTTTGGCTTTCCGATTTGCATTTTTCGGGACTTTCTCGAGGAATGGGCTTTGGCAAAGCTCAGAACTTTAGTTTGTTTGCATGTGTTTGGACTGCCTCGAGGGATATGCTCATGTTTTGGCCTATGAGTTTGGGTGTTTTTTGTGGGACTGTCTCGAGAGATATGCTCATGTTTTGGCCTATGAATTTGGGTGGTTATTGTGGGACAGTCTGGTGTCTTTTGTGTGACAGTCTCGAGATATGCTCATGTTTTGGCCTATGAGTTCGGGTGTTTTTTGTGGGATTGTCTCGAGGGATATGCTCGTGTTTTGGCCTATGAGTTTGGGTGTTTTTTTGTGGGACTGTTTCGAGAGATATGCTCATGTTTTGGCCTATGAATTTGGGTGTTTTTTGTGAGACAATCTCGAGGGTGTCTTGGCCTGTGAGTTTGGGTGTTTTTTGTGGGATTATCTCGAGAGATATGCTAATGTTTTGGCTTATGAGTTTGGGTGTTTTTTGTGGGACAGTCTGGAGAGATATGCTCAAGTCTCGAGGGATATGCTCATGTCTTGGCCTATGAGTTTGGGTGTTTTTTTGTGGGACTGTCTCGAGTGGTGGTTGTTGTTGCTGCTGCTACGGAAGATAGGAGGACTGTTGCTAGCAACGCTGCAGAGGCTGTGGTGGTGATGATGAAGGTGGGGATGGAGACGATGACATCCGGGATGATGCTGCTGGCAGTAATGGTGGTGGTGGTGGTGGTGGTGGACGGATGTTGCTCATTGGATGATGCTGATGGCCGCCACTGCAAAACGCCAGGAGTTTATGACTCTGCGACTGGCATCACGACTGCTGAGTTGCGAGTGCTACTGCCGTCTCGGGCCAGCACGAGCTGACTAGCTACGACTGGCGCGACTTGCGACGCCGATACTTCCTCAAGGTGAATCACTTCGTTGCAAGCTCAAGGCAGAGGCATGGTGTTCGGGATAATGCGAATGATCGCAGCTGTGATAGTCGTGGTTGTGACTCCAGTGTGACACCAGTGTGGTTTGAGCGTGTGGCAGCTTTTCTGTTCGCTAGTACTCTTAATTCTTAATGTTTCAATGTGTTGTTCGGGTGATGGGTAATTTAGTAATGCAGCAGTGGCATTGGTCGTGATGGATTGTAGGAGTCATGATGGTGACAACCTGATGACGACGCCGCCAGCAGCAAAGAACGATGCCGACGACATCAGGATGTGAGGACGTTGTTGGTGGCTCTGACAGTATCTGGTAAGGCTTACGTCAGTTGTCCGTTAGTCACTTCTTTCGACAGGTCGGAAGCCTTTAATTCGACCGGTCTTGGTCTGCCATGCGATGTGACGATCGGGCTTGGAGCCAGCAGCTCCCTCTTCAGCAACTAGTCAGCTGTCACAGTCCTGGTACGTCCAGTCAGTTCAGGTCACCAAGTTCAGCTTGAGCTACACTCGCAACGGCTACACCTGGTTCGATCTGCCGCAGGTGTACGAGGCTCGCATACGGAAACCATTCCAAGTGAAGCCGTGCAGGTAGCGAAAACGACTCAAGTTTTTTCAGCTCCACGACATGCGTTGCTGCATGAACTCCTTGCACAGAGAACAGGTACCCTGCAGCCCCAATCTCTAATCTCTAATCCAAAGCCCGACCGGAATTCAACATTACGTCAATACCTCAGGCCAACAACGACCGGCTCCCTGGTTCGCAGCGATTCGTCGGGTTTCCTTTGAACACATTCCCTTGTCTGGTGGTTTGGGACCGGTGATTTGGGGCTTTGCGTTCCTGGTAGACTGGACGGAAGGCTACATGGAAGAAAAGCATGTCGAAGACGCACAAAACGGAATACAGCAGAACATCTGGACGCAAGGCTATCTCCACACCTGCTGAAATCGCTGGGGCGGAACAAACATCTGGAAAAGAACAGATCTCAAACAATAGTGAGATGCCGGCAGCTCACAGGGCACAGCTGCACGAACAAGAACACATGTTGAGCTCTCAATCGTCGATGGCGCAGGAGGCGTCCTGTCAGGAACAGCAGATACATTATTTGTTGAAGGACTGCTTCGTTTTGCACTCGATCTTGCACGAGCTTCGGGCGTCTGCTTTTAGCTTCGAGTTCTTGTCGTGCGTCTCTACATTGGGTTTGGGGCTATTCGGATGTTGGGATCTTATGCCAAGTTTTCTTTGAGAAGTATAGCTTCGTGGTGGTTCGAGGAAACAGACAAAACCATTAAGCCTCCAGCTTCGCTGGTGTCAAGACAGTTTGCAAAAAGGAAGGCCTTTGGAGCACATAGACCTCCTCCTCTGTAAACCTGTGCTTGAGAAGCCCAAACTGAAGGGTCCTCATGCGTCGTTGCACTCAAGGAATCGGTGGGGCAATCCAGCACCTAGCTGGCCACACCAGAAGAAGCCAACAGAAATTTCCGACTGGAGGTTCGTGAACAGGTCCCACAAACCGTTCCTGTAAAATTATCTGGGTCGTTCGTTCTGTTCTTTCTTTTGCTTTGCTCTTGTATAATGCAGTGAAGCATGAGCGGAAGCATGAAAAGAGCAAAGAAAAGAAAAGAACACAGAGAACGAACATTTGATCTTATTATTAGTGAAGTTAGTTGTATTCTTTAACATTAAGCATTCTCCTATCCTAATATGAAGAGAACGTGTGTGTAATTTAAAGGAATAAAATGAGGAAGCGAGTGAAATAAGCGGATGCATGTTTATTTCTTTAAAGCAAAATACACGTGAACGAAATGGACAACTAATTTCTGGTACTAACTTCCCCTGTACAATTAAGTGAGTAGTGAATTTTGTTTTAATTAAATGGAACGAAACAAGGGCGGAACAGACGCATGTTCGTTTCATTAAATTCCAACACAAGAACGTACGAACCCAGGCTTGGAGATTAGAGCGCCTCCTAGCACTGTTTTCTCGTTTGGCCTGCAAAACAAGGACAAGGCAAGTCCTTCCGTTGGGTGTTGCCTTGGGCCGCTGTGTTGATGGATTGAACTTCGACACTTCAAACCCCTGCTGCAATTTCTTCAGTGTCAGGTTAAGCAAGATAGGCACTGGGAGTTGGGTCGACTTTGGCTCCAAACAGATTCCTCGGGCAACACTCCCAAAAAGCATTCCGCGCTTCGAGCGAACTTGCTCAGGACAACGCTCGTGGAGAACATCATCCTTCCACACTCCTTCCTGGCGATGAAGCTAAGGACTGCAGCTTTTTGCGGGGTTCAACGGTTCAACGCAAAGGGGAATTCTCTCAAGTCTCACGGAGTCTCTTCCCGGACACCATCCTGTCGAACCGGCGACTTTGTCTACCGCACAGCGGCGCTCAGCTTGGGGTTACAGCTTCAAGGATAGCTTTCCGTGAGCTGGCCCCCTGTCTTCTTTGCGGAGCTTTGCTCCGTCATAATCACAAGTTTAGCAACAGTAGAGTAGTGTCAAAATAGTAAAACACACGTCAGTCACATCCAAAATCCCAACACAGCAAATCCTACGTTAGAACAACAGCAGGAGTATATGGTTTGGCCATGTCTTTCCCCAGGCCATTAGAGCCTTCCGCTTGACTCCTTCCAAACGTGCACTCTTAAGAGCTACAAGCTACTTAAAGCGTCGGCATTGCCCGGATCATTATGCCCTCAAGCTGCGGCAGGCTGAACCAACTTGAGTACTTCTCATTCCCATGCATGCGAGCCGGGGCCAGAGTTGGATGGAGTGCAGCAACAGAAGCAGCAGCAGAGCAGGAACAGAGCAGGAACAAGAGTGCGAGTCGACGTGGGAGTAGCAGTGGTAGCAGTAGTCGTAGTAGTCGCAGTAGCCGCGGAAGTGGTTGTAGTCGTCGTAGTCGTAGTCGGAGTCGCAGTCGTAGTCGTCATCCTAGTCATCGTAGTAGCCGGCGTAGAAGGCAGTGGTTGTAGTCGTCGTCGTAGTTAGGAGGAGTAGGTGTAGGGGGAGGAGGAGTAGGAGCAGGAGCAGGAGCAGGAGTAGGAGCAGGAGGAGTGCGAGTAGGACGAGTAGTGGGAGTGGGATTGGAGTAGTGGCAGTGGCAGTCGCGGTGGCACTGGCACTGGAATCGGCAAAGGCAGAGGCGGCGGAAGTGGCGTGGTTGTGGTAGTAGTAACAGTAGTAGTAGTAGTAGTAGTAGTAGTAGTAGTAGTAGTAGTAGTAGTAGTAGTAGTAGTAGTAGTAGTAGTAGTAGTAGTAGTAGTAGTAGTAGTAGTAGTCGTAGTAGTCGTAGTCGTAGTCGTAGTCGTAGTCGTAGTAGTCGTAGTAGTAGTCGTAGTAGTCGTAGTAGTAGTAGTAGTAGTAGTAGTAGTAGTAGTAGTAGTAGTAGTAGTAGTAGTAGTAGTAGTAGTAGTAGTAGTAGTAGTAGTAGTAGTAGTAGTAGTAGTAGTAGTAGTAGTAGTAGTAGTAGTACTGTAGCAGTAGTGGGCAGTAGAACCGCAATATAGTACCCAGTACTTTCGGAGTACTTCCTGAGCCCGAGGTCGACATCTTTGGATGCAAACGTGCGGACACGGTGGGCGTGGAAGAGATCAACATCCCGCTTCCCGGATTATGAAACCCAAGCTGAAGCGTGTTTAGTTTAATACGCGAGCTGGAACATGGTCAAGAGGGTGTCCCCATGGTTCGCACCTGGCTTCTGAACTTGTGGGATGGATGCCCGAAACCACTGAAGAGGCTCTTTGCTTTTTGAGGTTTGTCTATGTCAAGCAAGATGTCAGTGGTTGGTCAATCAGGTAGGATTTGTCCAAGAGAACAGCATCAATAAGATGAAGCAAGTCACTCGAACGGCGGTTTTGCCCGAGGTTGGAGACAGACTTCACTCCATATGATCACATCCTTTTCTTCATGGCGTCGTACCTGCAGGCGCGCACGGCCTAGCAGCCTGCAGCTCTGAAAGGCATGAGACGCAGGTCTCGAGTCTCGGTCTTCAAGCCTCTCTTTCCTCAGGAGCAGAGTACGCCCTTCGCGCACAGGCTGAACGACGAGGCAGGTGCCCGCATGATCTTGAGAGTGGAAGTGCTGCGTTCGACGGGCAGGATGGCCGGGTGACAGATCTCGCTTTCATCGACCAGGACGCTGATGGTTAGCCGTGACCTGAAAGCCAGGCGTCCCCCAGAAAAAGGAATCAAGCAAGACTATTTCAAGCGCACGCATCTTCCCTGTCACCCGTGTTCTCGCTCTGTTGTCTGCTGACTGCGGGGGTATCTTCAGCAAGACAGGTATGAAGCCTGAAGATCCCGAATCACTGCATCATCCCAGCATTACTGCCCAGCGTGCATGGCCACTTCCATCACAGCTACAGCGCAGCAAATCATCCTTGCTTCAACGAATCTACGGTATAAGCGTTCCGTGTTCCGAGCATTCGCAGCATAGTACAGGAAGTGCGAGCAGTTCTGACCGGCTGGCTGTGCTAAAGTGGCAGAGAGCACCTGGAACAGGCGAGACTCGCTGTGGTTCAAACGTAGCATGGGTGCTGTGTGGAGGATCTGGATCAAGAGGAGCTCGGTGGATATGTCACGTTTACGCCGCCACCGGTGCTTTCCAGCAACATCGCAACTTGATTCAACTGACACGGCAGCAGGCTAAATTGAATTTTGCATCTATTCCATCCAGTCCGCCCTGACGCAACATGGTCTCTCTCTCTCTCTCTGTGAGTCTGCAGAGACTCGCTCAAGTAAGATCCTGTGAAGCACAATGTGCGTGTCGAGCAACCAGCAAGCCAGGATAGCGAGTGTATTACACTTAATTAGCTACAAGGGTCTGGCTGAATGTGCTTGAAACTTCAGGTTCGGTTTGAGCTGCTTGCCACTGGGGCCTGCTACAGTTGATCCACTCCACAGGTCGCCTACCGCGTGGTCTTTTCACAAGACACGCTGGGCCTCGTCGACCGGCGGGATATCGTCGAAGAGCCTGGAACCGAAGCTTGCCCGAAATGCCGCAAGCCAACCCACACACGGCTTGCGCAGAATCTTCTTCGGTCTGCTTGAAACAACATAGCTGACAGGTGCAGGGGAGTTACTTAGTCCTGCTGAAGCTATATTGTTCGAAGCTCGAAACCAGGCTTTCAAGCAGCTGGCACCCGTCGATATCGTGTGCTTTCAACTTTGGTTGTGCTTCAAGTCTTGAGATCAAGTGGTCAGCGAATCAGTGTGCTGCCGTGTTTGTGCTCTCAACCACCGTGGTGTATGATGGTCTCCTAACACAGCGATTGGCGGGCTCGCCTCCACCCCATGAGTTCAGCCAGGTCACTTCGGCCACTATCCAGGACTCAGCAGTTCGCAGCTCTTCCCCAGCACACCAGCCCGTTGCTCCCTCTGCCCAAGCTCGGCACCTGCAAGCCTTTAAAAGACACCATTGATCCCTGCGCCCTACATCCCACATCTCACAACACGCGCAAGGAACGCAGAGCTCTTTTCCATGCTTCTTGTGCTTAGTCGAGGTAGGATCTATTTTGCCGAAGCAACTCAATTTGGATTATAAGATCATGAAATCTAAGCGAGCTCAGCATGCACGGTTCCCTGTCACAGGGTGATGATGTACGTGCATGTAGGTTTAGGGTTCCGGGCTGCTCTTTGAGGATATGAGTTGGAGCAGGCAGCAGTTGGGGGCTTCGGGCCAGCTTTAGCTGTGCAGGAGGGAACCGCCCGGCTGCAGCTTCTTGCCTCAAAGGAGAACATGGACTTAGAGAGAACTCTGCAGTACTTCTGCCTAAGCCGCCCTACTAAACGCCACAGCACATGCTGTGCTTTGCGCAACCCCCAACCCTTCATCTGCAAGCCTCTCTCGAGCACTGGATTGAAGACCCTGAAGTACTGTTGTGGCATCACAAGGGCCAGGAAATGTGAGGGTTCGAAGACTGATGTGCGCTTAGCTCTGGGCTTCCGTGCTTTGGCAGAATGATAAATCGATGTAAGGTCTGACTACCTCTTGGTGTTTACGCAGTCCCCGACCACGGAGGGAAGCACGCCAACCTCCATTTCTCTCGTTGACAATGCTGTCAACGTCACGAATGTATCTCGGCGTGAATCGTTTTGAACAGTGCCGGCAGGATCGACGTTTGAGCTTGTCCTCGGAAATCTACAAGTACCTGTGTCACGAACCACACCTCTGCCCACCGCCTCTGCCTGCAGTCCGTCCCATCGTCGGAAAAGCTCGTCGCACATCCGAGCAAGTTTGGGTCAGTTTATGAGTCAGTTGCTTCAGGTCTCCTTTGTGGACTACGACTTGGATGCGGATCACATTGCGGGAGTTCTAAATTATGATCCTCCCGAGGATCTCTCTGTAGTCCCTCGGCGAAGCCCCGAAAGAAGCCACTACAAGTGACGCCCCCACCCTATAGTACTGCTTCCTGCGTGCCCTCAAATGTCTATTTGTTCAATCTGCAAGATTTCTATGTTCCCCGTACCTCTCCTCAGGTGACGCACTTCGTGCTCTACCTGGCACGTGCCCATGCTGCATGAGAAATCGTGTCCTTCCATAGTCTTGCGTTCCACTTGGGTATTTCGCTTTCGATTAATCCAATCGGTTCTTGCGCGAGAGTGGATGCAGTCGAAGATAGGCAATCAGTAGCGAAGGATTGTTCGTGATCTCGAAATGATTGCATTAGCAGCAAAATCGGGCCGACACTCGGCGAAAAGGGCCCAAGAAGCCCAGGCCTGGTGGATGGTCGCTTCGAGCGGGCTCCGTATCCTTTCAATGTCTCTTACGAGGTCCTCGCAGAGCTGGACGCCCGGCGGCTTTCATGGGATGTTGCGGGTTTCTGGGTGGAGGAGAAATGGGCTGAAGGTCCGGATGTGTGCTTGACAATATAGCATTGTGCGCTGTAGGTATGTAGTAACTTTGATTTTGGTGTTTGTGTGTTTGGGCTTCGTGATTTCAGCACTTTTAGTGTGCGACATCTTGGTGCCCAAATTTTTCAGAGTGCCACTTCCATTCTTGTATGGAAAGTGCGAGGGTCGGATAGGCCGTCGTCGTCGGTGGCTCGAAACGGATCTTGCAAGGCATCCACCGTGACGACAACAACGGCAGAGGTACCAGATGATGGTGTTCTGGCTGCAGCAATCATACATGGTTGTGTAGAGTCACGTACGTGGTATTCGTTCTCTAAAGGAGCCAACACCACAGAAGCGGTCGGAAACACCACCACTAGCAGCACATCGACTACGACTGGGACTTCGACGACCAGCACATCGACAACATCGACCAGCACCACCACGATGTTTGGTGACACGATTCGGTCTCTCAGCAGACTTAGCAGACCGCATGTTGCAATTGCACGGCAGCAGGGTACGGTGATCCGAGGATGCAAATTCCGTGCGACACTGCCATGAGCTCAGTTGGTGTTGGACTGTGCAGTGCGGGTGCGCTGAGCTCGGCTCCCTGTCTGGCATGAGCGGTTATCAAGGAGCTGGAAGGATACACGCACCTACTGCTATACTCAGCCACGGGCTTTGCGGCCCGATTCTCAGATGACCCCCGAGAAAGTTGTAGGAAGGTTTGTTCGCTTGTATTGGCGAGGAGCAGACCTATCCTGTAATCCTGGAGCTGGACAATGCCGACTCTCCCGCGGTGAACATCAGCCTCCCGATCGACACGTGTGTCGATTTGGGCTAGTGGGCTTACATGCTTGACCAGTGAACATGTGCTCGGGGATCGACAGAGTTGTTGTCGAGGCTACATCGCTGAAGACCTCAACTTGGACGACTTGGCTGGTACGGTGGAATGGGACCACGCAGACGACTACTCCAAAGTGCTGGTAGGCGGCTTAGGTCTGCAACCTCTGCAACCTTTGTCCTGGAAGTGTCGATGTCTGAGGAATACCACACAGAGCTTCAAGACGCATTTGGGAACTCACCCCTTTCGGTGGCCACCACTCCGGTGACGGCCAGTCTGAGTATCGCTGCCAGGAGCTGAGACTTCTTCCGCAACTTTGAGGCTTGAAAGGGGAGCATCTTGCTGCCCAGTTGCCGGAAGCCAGATTTACATAGCCGTTAACATCCAAGACAGGGCCCAGGCTCTCAACTCGGTTCATCTGCGTTAAACCCGAGAAGAGACCGCCGTGCTCTGCCCCGGAATCTTCGGCTGAAGCGATCCTGTCCTCCACAGCCGGTTAACCCCATCCCTCCGCTCAAGGTCCCCTCCATGCCGCGCTCCATCTACGAGAGACTGGCCATCTACTCTCAGTCGGCGCTGTGCCGATCAACCCTACCCTCGGTCTTGACGATCCAGGCATGAAAGGAAGAGTTAGAGTCGAGGCATCACAACGGCCAATAATTTCGGAGCTTCAAGCTTCAAGCAGGGGATTCAGAAATTCAGTACATTATTGTGTAGGGTTGAAGCCTCCGGGCTTTAAGGCAGAGAGTGCTGCTGTCAGTCGCGATAGTTCTGCAGTAACCAGTAAGACCTGAGCCTTGAGCGAGATGTCAGACAATTCAGAAGACTAGCCCAGAAGGCAATGCAAACGTGTACACCTCGGACCGCCAGCGCTAAATCCTGAACCGGGAGAGGAAGCAGCAAGGACATTTCCCCCGAAGAAGTCCTCATCCAGGGTGCAACATTGGACTTCACCGTAGCGGGCCTCGTCCTGATCGATAAGGATCTCGATGAAGGCCCGGGCTGGTGAGCTGAAGTCGCAGCAGCCGAGTCGGTGGCTTCCCAGCCATACCCAAACAGAACTGAGATTCCCTTCAGAAAAGGTTCAGAAACGTTGACGAATGATCTGTCTGCTTGTCGAATGCAGAGAAGGCAGGAGGTAGAACTGGGCTACAAGGAAAGGTCGCAGGTTGAGCTCCGCAGATTCTCAAAACATATCACGTAGCATATTGTCTTTCCGTGCATATTGTCTTTCCATGCTTGCGACAGGAGAGATCGGTGGTGATATCACCTGGAGCACCCCGAGGAACCTTGAGCCGGCTGAGCCAAACCGTAGCACAAGAAGTTTGCCTTCACTCAACTTCGGCATGCAAGCTGCATGCTACACAATACCGGAACATGCCAGGCATATGCAGGTCTATGTATGCATGTATGCATGCATGCATGTTTCTGCGCGCTCGCTCTCTCTCTCTCTCTCTCTCTCTCTCTCTCTCTCTCTTTTTTTTTCTCTCTCTCTCTCTCTCTCTCTCTCTCTCTCTCTCTCTCTCTCTTCGTGAGTAGTACAGCCTTTGTATGCCTTTGTGATACAGCCTGTTTCCTGCAGTTCGCCAGCATGCTGGATTGCCGAAGTGTCAGAGGACTGTCGGGCCAGTTGTCAAGCTCATGGTTTACCTGGCAACATCTGCCGCCACCTCAGCCTGTTCATGGCCAACCAAGCTCGTTACATTCGCATGTTCCCGAGTCCCATGTCAAGGATCATCGACAGAATCACCCGCATCAGTAGTGGCCAACAAGTCACCACCACTGTCATGATGGTCATGCTGCCGTGCTTGATACCCTTGCTGTCGCTAAATTCCTTCACACATCGTCCTGGCGAGTATCTGTGCCGCTGCCGCTGTTGCCATGCATTGGGAGACACACGAAGGACCTGCAGCCACAGCTCATACTAGCTTTTTGTATTTTGTCGTCGCTGTCGTTCTCGTCGTTTAATAGTGTCGGAGTGGGTGTGCCGACGCAGACTGTTATCGCACCTCAGTCATCCTCCTTTGTACATATATTGGGATATACAGTGGTTGATGTCATTGCTGTTAGAAGCAACCCGTCAAGGGCCCTGCTTCCATGCAATCTATCAACAGACACTGCTAGCCTAGGTCGCGAGGCATTCCTAATCCTTCAAGCCTCTCGCTACCAGCTACCAAGGACGACGGTGATGACCGCTATTTCCTAGGCGAGCTGTCTCCGACGACCGATCTTGGACTCGACCGATAGTTGCAGAGATGTGAGCCTGGTAGGATGTAGGGTTTGTGATTTCAGATGTTGGCTCGTTTTACTTTTCATCGCCAAGCACCACCGTCTCATAGCCTCGCCGAGCTTCGCAGGCTTTCTGTCGGGGCTGTGCCTTGCAAAAACAGCTTCGCGGGATCAGAGGGGCATCTTTGGAGTGCATGTGGCGCATCAATCAAACATTGTACTGCAAGCTGCTGCTGCATGAGACCGGTCGGAGAGCTGAGCGACATCGTTCGAAGTGGAGCTACGCGTCGAGCAGATGTCTCGTCACTTCATGAGTGCTGTCATTTATGCAGTTGACAATGCCTCCAATGACTGAGGAGAGCCTTGCCATCCGGCCCAACTATTACTTGGGGCTGAATGCCACAGCCGCTTAGCACCAGCTTCGCTGCAACATTTCGGGGTTCGCTTGTCGTTTGGGAACTCGGAAGTCTTTGACTGGTGTCGAAGACATTCATTTGACCAGGGCCTTCGAAAACAGAGCATCGGCATTGTGCCCAGTCTCGCGCCCCTAACACACGTTCACGCGCCACCGGGAAGAAGAAACAACCTAAGACTTGCAGATACTGTTCGCTCCCAGGAGTATGATGGGACCACAGTCACGAGGACAACGACGCAGACAGGACCGCGGATCCGAGTCTGAGGCAGCTGAGTTTAACTATCCTCCAGGGCTTGTGCCCTGAGAGAGTGCGAGCTTCTGGGGCGCTGCCTTACTTGAAGACGGATACCAGCTGGAGTCAATACGGGGCATGCTCCGTGTGTGCCAGCAAGTTTGACAAACGAAGTGTTTGGCAGGAACGCCTCCTGCACTCTCCTGCTTTCTGCTGTTTGGTATTACGGGAGCGAAGAAGTAGTAGCAACTAATGAAAAAAGAACATCACCGAAGACAACAGTGAGCAAACACATCATGTTGACTATCCGAACGATTCGATCAAACGACAGAATTTGATTTGATATTGCGTACCAAGACTGGGAGGCTTGGGAGCTTGGTTGGCCCCTTTTCAGCATGGACTTGCACAGCCCCAGTCTTGGGTGCGCCACAAATTCAGGAAAGCCACCCTTCGAATCTAGGAGTGCGCTGACTTTGGCAACCAAAGGCCATTTTCAGCCCCTTACAAACGGGAAATCCAGGACTCCCACATTCTTGCCCGATCCTTTCTTAGATAAGTGCGAAGATCTGTGCAGGAAACATGAGCTACTGGGTGGACCTCGGGCCAGAGTTGGTTCCTCCGGACACCCAACGCTCGCTTCGAGAATGGGACCGGGGACCAATGGTCTTGGTTGAAGGAGCTTCCTTTGTTCTCGATAGTGTGGCGAAGGCTTTTTTGCCAAGGGTTTGGACGAGATTATCTCTTCCTTTTGCAGTGAGGTTGGGTGCCCCTTGGGTTTTCGTAAGGTTGGGTGGCTGGCTCCTGCTGCGTGGCATGTCCTCGCAGTTCGATGGCGCTGCATTGTACGTCCGCCGTCGATTCCTGAGCCTCACAGTACACACGAAATGACAGCGTTCTCGGTGCTCTCGGTTGTGGTGTTGCGCCGAATTTGGCTTCGAGCTGTCTGAATCGCGCCAGTGCTTTACATGGGGGATCCGACATGCTCCCGAATTCCATCTGAACCCCGCCAGTACAACGGGAGAAGCGACGGTGGTCATGTTGCTGAACCGTGCCAGTACCTGGAGAAAGCAGTTTGGCTTCGGGGGAAGCATATTGACAGCCCTCTCGGTCGGACATGGCGGACGCATCTTCGGTAACCGAGATCCATTGAATATTCCAATCAATACATGGGCCAGATTTCAGTGTCTTGCTCCCGAATCCCGCCGGTACCTCGAGGAAGTTGTTTGATCGTGTGACTGAATGCTCCTAGCACATGGATTGTCGCCACGGCCCCGAAATCCCACCAGTAACCAGTACATTGGATGAAGCATTTTGGTCGAAGGTGGAAGGGCATCTAGGAAAGGCTCAGAATGGTCTGTTAGAAGGTTTTACAGAAGGACTCAAGCCAGTGCTTGAAGGGGTTCATACAAGCTACAGGGGTTTACAGAGGGGTTCAGTTTCGTAGAGTGTTCATAAAGGGTCGGCCGCAGGGAATTATGGACGAGTTTATCAAAGGATTTGTCGAGGGGTTTCAAGGAGAGAAAGAAGGGTTGTATAGAAGGGCTGGTATAGTGTTTATAGGATGGTTTATAGCGGGGTGTATGATCTCGCCGGAGGAATGGATGGACGAATGAATGGATGCAAGGGTGGGTGGGTAGGCGGACGGATGCTCGGATGGATGCATGAGTGGATGGATGGGGAGTTGGACGTATGAGCATAGATGGATGGATGGATGGATGGACGGATGGACGGATTCACGGATGGATGAATAGTGGGATCGACAAGTAATTAGATAGCGGGAAGGAAGGATGGATGGATGGACGGATGACTGTTGGGACAGATGGATGACTGTACGGACGAACGGACGGAGGGAGGGATGGATGATGGCTGAGATAATGTTTGGTGTTGCCTCTCTGCTCCAAAAGCCTCCAAAGCCTTGCATTTCGAGGCTTTCTGGCTTGTGGGTTCAGGGATGAGCCTTTTACGTTGCAGGCTCACAAAGCGAAAGTAATTAAGCGAGACGCTGTTTTCCAGCAGGATAGTTCTCGGATAGTTGGCCAACTGAGCCGGGTCAGCTGAGTCTAATCCAATCCTTCTGCACAACACTCTCCCTATCAAGCTGCGGAGTGTCGAACCCAGCCGCCCTCGACCGAGGGTGGAGCTCACGACTGCCATGGACCCGTAAGTGCTCAGCCCCTTCAAAGCTCTGCGAACTGTGGTTCACGGCCGCCTTTGCCAGGTGCGGATGACTCACATTCTGGTCTACTCCTTGTCGTCGTCTGTCGAGATGAGGACAGAAGAGCTTAAGTTGTTTGTAATACCCTCACAGGTGAGCATCAATCAACAAGGGGAGGAAGTTGTAAGCCATGTCACAGAAGGTGGTGTTCCGCTGCTCGGGTAGGTTCGGATATGGCCCGCTGGCACAAAAGCTCGTGAGAGTATTGGCTCATTTTGCCCCGGCCCCTGGAGCCATTTGATGTCAATGAATGGGGTCCAGAAACGGCAGGTCAAACCACTTTGGGGAAGCAGCCCACAGCTGGAAGCATATCCTTGCATGGCTGCAAGCTCTCAAATACAACCGCAAGCCCTCATCAGCATCGAAACTTCAGGAAGCTGGTTGTGTAATGAGGCTCCGACCACGAAAAGAGAGAGAGAGAGAGAGAGAGAGAGACAGTATCTAACTCATTCGCTGGGCCGCCGAGGAGAGCCCGAACCGTAGTCGCACATAAAACCGTGCACACCTCCAACAGAACGGGCAGCTCCGCTCAAGCCCGGGGAAAGGAAGGAGAGAGAGCGAGAGAGAGAGACAGAAAGAGACTGCCTGGACGCTGCAGCTTCTTCAAGCCCAGTAGCAAGCAAGCAAGAGAGAGAGAGAGAGAGAGAGAGGGATGACTGCTCCCGCTCCTAGCCCCTAGCAAAGCAAAGAGAGAGCGAGAGAGAGAGAGAGAGAGAGAGAGAGAGAGCCATTTTGGCTCAAACCGCGAGTGGTTCGAGGACAGAGGGAGCCACTCCGCCCTTACTTTCCTTCTCCTCTTCGATCTACTGGTCCCCTCTGATCCAAACCCGGGCGTCTGCCCTCTTCTCCTCATCTGCTCTTCTTTTTCTGCCGCGATTGCTGAACGAGATCGAGGATATTCCTGCGTGCTTCCCGCTCCTCGCTTTAACAGGGGAAATAGTTGTGCAAGGCTCCACGAGGTGAACCGCCGCCGTTCCTGATCCTTGCGGACTTCCACAACATCGCCGTTGACGCCATCGGCGACACTACAGATCCTCTCCGTGAAGGGCACGATCCTGTTCTTGCTCAACACCTACTTGTCGGGGGCGACCCTGCCGACTCAACCCAACCGCAGCAATCATGGCGGGAAAGGGGAGTGGAGCCACCGATCCGATTGTTCACGACTCACCACACCGCAAGCGAGGCGCGCCAGAGACGGAGCCCATAAGCCTGGAAGCGATCCGTGAAGTAGTACGTGCTGAAATACAAGGTGCTGTCTCTGGCATGTCGGATCGTGTTTCAGCTTTGGAACGCGGACTACAAGCACACAATGACCGGACCTTTCAAGCTGTGGAAATAACTCATCCTCGCAAGCGCAGCAAAGCTTCCGCCTAGAAGAGTTGGCCAATGACACCAAGGAGATCTCCGGAAGGCTTTCATTCCTTGAGGTCAAGTCGTTGCAATCCGCGGGGAGCACCCCCACACCTACTTCTATGGCACGCCGGACACAGAGGATGGCGAAGCAGGTGACGAGTGAATGCTAGCCGAGACGCTCCAGCGAGGAAGCCGCAAATAGGGGAAGAGCCCCTCGCTTCATGCATAGGACCGGGATAGGCCACTGGGATGAAATCCGGCGTACTCGTTCCTACACTTGCTTGTTTCTGTTTCAGGAGTGTCTGTGTGCTGCTGCCTTTGTGAAGCCGGAATATCCCGCCACTAACAGCTGAGGACCCCCTTTTTGAAACAAAGACGTGGGCCTGCAGTACTCCACTTGTAAAGGCCTCCTTCCCAAAGTCCAAAGCACTATGCGGCATACTTTTCCTTGCACGACTGGTTTTTGTTCCGAGTTCTGTTCCTTTGTTGTTACCCCCGTGTCAGCCGCAACACTGCAACAAACAAGGTAGGCATTCATTCCATTGCTAGGGCCTTTGAACACGGTCTATCTTGCTCTACTGTTCCTATCCCGCTTTATTTGTTCCAATGGCCGTCGATCACAGGCCCAAAGCTTTCACTGCTACCTGAGACTAGGGGGCCCCCTACAAACTGTGCTTCGTTTCTTTTCGCTATCCTACTTCTGGGAGTTTCGCAGGGGAGCCCCCAGTGGCCCCTCAGGCTGTGTCTGCCCGTGCACGGCAATCTTCACTGCCTTTGCACTACCACGTTGGCCTGTTAGCATTTGCTTTTGCCACGTCACGGGAGACTTGACCACGGAAGCCTTTACGGCACCCAAGCCGAGGGACGAATTCACCACATGCAGTTTCATGCACCCAGTTTTCAGCGAAATGTACATGAGAAGAAGAGCGCAGTAAGAATACGGCGCACGAACTCATACCCTCAGCAACTCTGAACACCGCGCAGTAGTCCCTGCATTGTCTTTTCCTTTCCAAGTACTGTTGTTCGTTGCTGCCCTTGTCACGCCGTGCACATAGCCTGCCTACGGGGAATTAAGACCTCAAGCCCTCTCTCTGTAGCGAAGGCCCAGACCGTTCAGCCCCAAAGGTCTGAAAAGAGCCTAAGTGGCGTGCCCGGCATTTAAACACTTGTTACCTGCACTGTTCTGTCCTTCTTTGTCCTGTTCTCTTGTTGCTGCCCTCGTAAACAAGCCGGCACGATCCACCTTAGTGAGGATCAACCTCGCTTCGCTGATCATCTTTCACTTCTGGCTTTTGAGGGTCGTTGCAGGGGAGCCGCCAGTTGCCTCTTCGATTGCGCATTTCTTTCGAAGACAAACTCCACTGCAAATATGGGCGTGCTAGTTAATTTCCCCGCTCCCCCCTTCAATTTACTGCCCCTGCCACTTATCTACCTGCCATTCAGCCTAGCACGCCAAAGCAGTGTAAACCATTTCGAGTCAACACTGCCAAGACAAAGAACGAGGGGAACACCCCCTTGCACAGGCGACGATCCTGAATACACCGACTGGGTAATGCCTGCACTTCCAGGGCATCTTGTGGCATATAGTTGCATTTCATCGGGTGTATTCCAGTCGCCTAGGGAAGCTTCGAAACTCGAACTCCCAGAGTCGCTGGCAGAGTGTAACATGTGCGTCCCGCACCAGTCGGGGGCGCTGACGCGCGCGGTGTAGGGGGTAACCCCTACACCACAGCCCTGGCGAAAGAAAAGAAAGAAAGAAAGAGAGAGAGAGAGAGAGAGAGAAAGAGTCGCGCGCGGTGTAGGGGGTTAAACCCCTACACCCTAGCCCTGGCGAAAGAAAAGAAAGAAAGAGAGAGTCGTGGAGCGACGAAACATGTTCCCTCAGTGATGTTCTGTACTTATTGCTATGACGATGGCTTCTACTGTTGTTGCTCGGGGGAACATGTAGTGTTATGCGGGTATTGTACAGTGCATGTGTATGCCATACAACTGAGAAACCCTGACCGTATTCACTGAAAATGTAAGCTATCACTTTTGTCAGGGGGACTTGTTGTCAATTTGACGCCCTTTCCAAAAGCCCCATAACACATGGGGGGCCCATGCGGCCGGGGGGCCTCGCACGCTTCCCACGCCCTGCTGAAGAAGAGAGAGAGAGAGAGAGAGAGAGAGAGAGAGAGAGAGGGGGGGAGAGAGAGAGAGAGAGAGAGCGGCTCCTCCAAAGACTTGCATGCCGGACGCTTTCTTCGGACGGAAACGGCCCGTTACTAGTCCGAATAAAAGAACGAGGACACCGGCTTCCTTTGAGATCGCTGACGCCAACGCCAGTGTGTCCAACATCACTTTCCCAGATGAAGACCTGGATCTGCATGAAGTGGGAGGCACCTGGCAAAAAATGAACTTTCGTACTAGTACCTCAAGTTCAGAGTCAAGCGTTTGTGATTTGAGGCGTGTATTTGCATAAATGCTGGGGACAATTCAGAAGCGGCTTCCAGGATCTCTGAGAAATTCATTCGAATATAGCATCGGCGACCACTCGGTCCTGGACCGTCCCGTGCTTGCTGAGGCACGGTGTCATGGAACCCACCCGATCTGTACGAGGCGCGGGCTTAACTACTCCCCCTGGCCCAGAAGAAGTCTTCGAGATGGTCTGCCAAAGCGAAAAAGTTACTACCCTTCGCCCCTTGCGGTTCTTGTTGTCTACTCACACGACGACGATGATGATGCTGCTTCTGATGATGATGGTGATGGTGACGATGCAGGAAGCAGTCGCACACTATCGCGTCTACATCGCCATGAACGAACGTGGACTCGACAGGTGTGGGGCTGAGCGGAAAAAATGAGATTTGGAGGTATCGACACAGTGAAAAGCTACAGGATCCTGGCAGCGCCGCAGTCGCCTGTGGGCACGGACTTCGGGGACGTTCCGGCCGAGACGATCTTGCCATACTGCGCCCGAGCTCCATTTCGGATTCCTGTCATGCTCTGTACCCACCTATCCAGCGTCCGAGCGGTCGAGCGGCCGAGTGGCCGAGCCGAAGAACTCAGGCGATCAGAGTACCAACGTCCGGCCCATCGCCTTACAAGCGGCACAGCCCACAGTGGTTCCTCAGAAGCACAGAGGGTCTTCGTGCCAAGCCCGGGGATGAAGAGGAGATGGTTCCTGGTGACCTATAGATCCGCTATTGTCACTTCTCCATTCTGACAGCTTGTGGATCATCGCACCCTGATGAGCATCCTCATTGCTTAGAAGCAGCATGCCGGGGTCAAGGCGTGACATGCGGCAGCCCCGAAACCTTGGCTTTCGGTCCCGAGCGAGGTGTTGGTGCATTCTGTCTCGACGCTCTCCGAGCAGACGACCCCGACATGGAAGAATGTCAGTGACACCAATTTCCAGGTTCGTCCTGTCGGGGGGGTAGTCTTAGCGAGGAGCAAGATTAGTTCTGGGAAGTCGGACGAGGACGAAGGGTCACGCAGACACCCCGCGGCTGCACCCCGAGCCGAATGCTCCAGGTCACCAACGTTCAGTTGGAAGATCTGGACTTGGATTTCCAACAACTCGGAGGCTCGATAACCTGGGAGCCTTGTCAAGACGGAGGTTCGAGTTGCAACCGGGGAAGACTAGTTGCTTTGTGTTGTGTGCGTAACATCGGCAAAAGTTTATCGGGAGTAGTGAAGAGCATATCGCCAAACCGGGATCAACAACAGCAGCACTATCAACAACTGCAAGACACAGATGTGGCTTGACTGGCAAGTTTAAACTCAGGTCGCTGAACACTCGCGGTTTCTGCGTGTGAAGGAGTGTTGCGAGATCGAACTACTGCTTGAAACAGCTAGCTGTGAAGTGCACAGCAATTCTTCAAAAGCGGAAATTCAGCAGGCATGTCAGATGTGGAGGCATCATGGCATTCACGTGGGAACGATGTCTCAGGGTACCAGGAGGTGCATCACAGAATGTCAATGTGTTGCCCACTGCGAGACGATACGAAGCAGAACGCGAAGCAGGCAGTCTCTTCACAGCCTGCCTCCCAGGATATTCCGTACCAGGAATCTCTGGTAACCCACTACATGGTGTATTTCGGCCGGCTGATCTACAGCCACTTTGCTTCGCAAGGGATTCTGGCTAGTGCTCAACTGTAGGCCGAGGTGGAGCCGGTGGAGGATTTCTGGCCTTTGCTCGCCAGGCTATGGAACCGACACAGAGGGTGACTGGTTTATCAACACTGCCTCCAAGGACACCCCCTCATTGTGTGGGGTTTCCCTGCTCGTTCGTAAAGCTTTGCAGCATATTCACGCCGCGACACACAGGTGTGCAATCTCTCGCAAGCAAAAGGACACCTTTGTTGCTGCGGCAATTTGGTGGCACTTCGCCACCGGCTCAGATGCCAGAAAGCCAGTATGACTCCAGGCGATGTGCTAGATCCGTCGTCTGGCTCATTCAACATGCCATCAGCATGCATTTGCCTTTGAAGCCGCCTCGAAAGCCGCAAGCTTGCTCGAAACAGACTTGCACTCCCAACGCCCTTGGACCCTTCGAGCTGAGGTTGAATTGAAGGCCGAAACCACGTTTGCCCCGAGTGACTACATCTTGGTATATGCAGCTTCAGCAGCCGCCTCAGCCCTGAATCGCAAGCGTTTCCTTTCATGATGGATCGCAGGAGGCTGATATGAGTCTGCAGACGAGCTGCGAGTTTTCAAGACAGTTTGGAGGTGTTCCTTATTGCAGTTGTTGTTGAGCATGTCTCCATTGCCTATTTTCGTTACAGAGCGCACTAGGCACTCAATAGTGCACCTAGTTCTCGACTATGATATTGAGCCTTACTTACCTTTAAGACACAGACCGGGACGCCAGTCCGTGTACCTGCAAGTTTGCAGAAGGCACCCTTAACTGCTTTTCCTTCCATGTTTGGTCAAACGGTGGCAACATGTGGCTCGATGTGCAGATAAGCTGAACAACGATATCACACACAACCGCTGTAGATGCTTTGCTTGTATGTGCAGCATTGCGCGATTTCTTCCACGGCTGATGTAGACATGCATGAAGACGTTCGTACATGCATTTCATACATATCCATCCATGCCGACGCCCACATACACATACTTAGCATGAGTGTAAGCAACTTGGCTTGTGCACGAGTTTTTCGGCAGGTGACAATGTAAAATCCTAGAAGACATGCATGCATGCATGCATGCATGCATGCATGCATGCATGCATGCCTTTCACCCGTACATACCCAGCCAGGCAGACGCACATATGCATACTCACATGCAGACAGACGTGCATACATGCATTGATCGTATAGATATAGTCATCATCTACATGTGCATATAGATATATAGATAGGTATATTCACATACACATTCTCATACACATGCACATACAGGCACCTACACATACGCACATACACATACATACTTACGTACTTACATACCTACATACATACAATGACCTGCCTACCTGCCTGCCTATCTACCTACCTAAGTATGTACGTACGTACGTCCACACACACATAGGTACATACGCACAACATGAATGCATGCATACATATGCATACACATGTGCACGAACCATGCAGACATGCAGACATGCAGGCATGCACACATACATAGTTACACGGTTTCATGCGCAGTAGTGTGTCATTTTTCGTACATACTGTGTTGCATGTGTGTATATGCTTCGTGGTATGTACAGTACATGTGTCATTATGTGCGAATGCCCCAAGGAGAGCCGCTTGAAAAACACTTGGTCTGCGTGTTTTAGATGCCGTTCACCTGCGTCGTCCTGGTACGAAATCCTTCAGACTTTCATGACTTAGCATCAAAGTTGGATTTCTTAATCTAAAAAAGGCATGGTCACCCAAATCATGTAGGGCTTGTGGTGCAGGTGTTTCGGTCTGGATTTGGGTGTCCTTTAAACACGCCTGGCGGTTCGGTGCGGGCTTCGTAAGTTCAGAAGCTAGCCTTCCAGCCAAAATCCCACTTTAACGAGAGTCTTGGTGTCTGTCGTGCGAGGCCATCGCCGAGCAAACTCGCCCTGCGACGAGGTTCATTCCCGATGACAGCAAGGCTCTCAGTAGTGTATAGCGTGTTGAAATGCTCGTAGCCCACACCCACGAGCTCTAAACTACTCGAAAGCCCGCACCGAGGTCAAGAGCCTCAGCATCACAGAAGGGCATCCTAAACTGGATCCGAGCCCACCTTTTGCACTTTCGTTCCCAATCCCAGGCTTCAGGGTGACTCTGCTCACCTTTAAGGACCTGGACCTCGACAACGACGAGGCGATGCAAAGGGCGCAACTGTTGGGCATCGGGGACTTTCAGTGTTTGCGGGGCTTGGAGTCTGCGAAACGTGGGCCTCTTAGGTTTCTGGAATCATAATTCCGATGCCCCAGACAACTGCACCTCGCTCATCTCCCTGCCAGCTTGGTGGTACCTTGGGCTGGTTTGAGCACAGCCAAAGCTACAAGGTGGTTGCTCGGCGTGGAAACGTGATTACTCTCAGTACACTATACTAATACGCTTGTCCCGGTCATCTTCAGGAGAAGTTTTGCAGATTGGTACGCTGTGCTGCGGAGAGGATTACCGAGTCGCAGTGAATGCTTGCAAGGACGATCCTGAAGGCTCTAGCATCCAGCAGCTCCTGATGTCTGTTACCGAGGTCGCCTATCATGTCTTCCTGGCCACGGACGAAATTGGCTCGAACCGCTTCCGCATCAGCAATGGGACAGGCGCACAAAGCAACACTTCCACCATGAGCTCTAGACTGTAGGCTTCGAGCACGGGATCCTTTGTATCGAAGTCCAAATGCTTGTTTCACGACTCAAAACAAAACAATGGATCAGCAAGAGATTTTGCGAGCGGAAATCTGCGGCAATGTCAAACGCGACTAAACATCGGTATGCTTGCAGGCACGAACCACTCGGCAAGTACAATGTGTTAAGTGAGTGTGCAGCCGACGGTCGCAAGTCACTGGCTGCACACAAAATTCCCACCCTCCCAACCCTTCTTTCAATCCGCTGTGTGGCTCCGGAGCTCTGTTTACAGGGGGATTTCCCGGTGTGTAGCCCCATGTAACTCTGTAGGCTCAGGGGGCAGCAGCATTTCCTGCGGGTGGTCCTGCTGCCGGGCGATGTGTGCGTTGTGATCATTGAACAAGCGATGCATCAGCAAGCGATCAGTGGCATGCCGCGGCATCAATGCTTTGGAACTTTTCTTGCTCAGTGGTAAGTTCTTTTCAAGGTTGTGTGCTGGGGCTCTGACGAGGCATCCCCCAAGGGAGCAACGAGTTCGACGTGGAGCCCGACACCACGGTCGCCCCAACTTTAGTTGAAGATGTGGCTTCGAAGTCACGTTGTGTCTGGGCTCCAAGCCTCAGCCTTGAACCAGCTACCACTGCAGCGAAGCTATCCCAATTTGCAGCCACTTGGGCCAGCATGTCACCCCGAGCTTCAAGCTAACTGTTTTGCTCCCTTGGCTTCGGGTTTGCCAGGTCTGGTTGGAGGGAAGCCAGCACGCGACCCACTTCTGCGTCTTCCAGGTATCATGGTATCGCCCACCCCCCTTCGGGGTGCGACCCCTCTGCCACCAGCATCACACTCTTCTTGTTTCTGCCTGGGGTCCCAAGCTTTAAATTGAATCTTCACGAGCTTTCTTTCTGAAGGCCAGGTTCAAGGGTGCTCTTTTCTGGAGCTGAATCAGCCTTGTCATGCGCTCGAGTGTAAATATCAAGAGACTGTTCCCGCTTCCGTCGAGGTCTGGGTAACCAGTGGTAACCAGAGCTCAAGCTTTGCTAGGCGTCATGCATCCGAGGCCCTGCACCCTTGTAGAATTCAGCATCCCAGCAAAGAGGAAAAGGCATGGAGTCGGAGCCCATCGACCCAGTGCCTGTGCACCATGTGACACCGTAGGAGACGCGGCTGGTGGAAGAGAACACACCTGCAGCCCTTGCCATCTCGGACACGTTCGTTCAAGCGCAGCAGGCCACAAAAGAGATCTAAGTGCAACGCTGCGTCCGCGACTGTGAATACGAGCTTTGGGAATGCATCATGTGCTTTCTGCCACCCGAACAATCCTAAACTGTTTGACATGTTGGTTTTGCGGCAGCTGCGCTCGTTATGCTGTGATCTTCCTAAGCCGTGGGCCGTGGGACGCGAAGGTGAGCTTCACCGATCTGGACCTGGACGTGAGCCAGTTCGGCGGGAATTTGACTTGGCAGCAGCCTTCTCTGGACACGTCTCTGATCACCCACTACATGGCAGCTCGGAGAAAATCTCGGTCCCCTCTGCACAAGCGAGCGTTCGCGAGCCCGTGGTTTTCAAATCAGGTCTACTTCGGCTTGGACGCCGCTGGCCTGGACAACCGTGCCTTGTCACGGTCTTTGCTCAGGAATGTCTGTTACCTGTAGACGCGCGCATGCTTCAGATTCAGCAGTCTCCTGAACCGCTGTTGCATGCGCGTGACATCCACAATGAGAGCAGCTCGCCTGAACAGAGACTGCAAGGTTACTTGTTCACCTACGTCCCTCAGCCATTCTCTGAAATTGCCGTTCCGGCAGAAACATCGCTCTACCACCCAAGTGCCTTGGACGCAAACTTATCCCTGAAAAAATGCCGAGTCCATGCTTGGAGGGCTCTTGCCTCGAGCCTTCCCAGGCTACTTCGGCCCGGGCAACACCAGCATGCTCTTCGCTGCTTGCCTGCAGAGACCTGCATTTAAGCATGACGGAACCCTGAATCTGATCTGCCTCTGGCACCCAAACTTCAACCTACTTCTGCTTTTTGTTGTCCCATTGTGGCACACTGCCTCGGTTTGTTCTCTTCGAGACTGTAACTTCAGAGTGTTCTTTGGCTTCACTATGTTTAGGCAGGTGTTAGCATGAGTCGAGGACTCCAATCTCGTCAACTCCAAGCCTTTTGCCTGGTGTGAGCACTGTCGCAGCCCCAAGCCTTTGAAATAGTTGGAAGCTGCAGAACTACATCCTCGTCTACGCGCGCTCGAGTCTGGCAGAGCAGACGACGCCGGCCTACGTCGGCATCATCGACTCGGACATGCCGGTCAATGATGTTTTCTGGGTGGGTGAGGCCGGGCACGTAGCATCTTCGGGTTGGTGCACAGCCCGGAGTCCCAAACCCAACAGCTCGAAGCTGCTTCCAAGGACCTGGACATCAATGACCTCCAGGGCACGTTGCAGTGGACGCCGCCGGAGAACATTTCGGGGGAAGTAATCACGCAACCGGACTTCAACTTTTTGCTTGCTTCTTCCTCCCGGCGCACTTCAGACTTTGCGTGCCCATGACATGGATTTGTTCAGCGTAGAAACGGTCTCGAGTGCACGCCGTTTTCGTTGTCCAGCAGATTCCGTTGCGGCTTTTGGCTCGGGTGTTACGACGACGGCGGCGACGACGACGACACGCTGATTCCAAAAGCAGGGGCAACAGGTGCAATACTGGTGCATGATCAACCGCCTTGTCTAATGCTCCAACCGACTCGCACGGATAGCAAAAACGATGCGGACTGGACCGGCTTACCTTTGGCAGGTCATCATGGATTTGAGCCAATTTCAGCACCCATGGGTGGAGTGTGAGTCAAGATAAACGATTTTGCAAGAACCCTAGACTTAGTTCGGCTTAAAACCCAAATTGCATTTGGCCCTTGCAGCCTTTCTGTAGGTTCGGACGCCCTGCTTCCCAAAAAAGCATCTCGGGAATATTCTTTCTTTACTTTACAGGTCCACCGAGCAAATGTAGAGTCTCCTATCCATGTTCACACTCTGCATTATAGGGCCTCCCACACTGCTACGGCCTTTAAATTACTGCTGCAGAGGTATGCAGTGTACCTTGCGGATGCTGGCGATGGCGGCAACCGTTTGCTGGTCAACTGGACTGGCAGCCCCCTGCCTTGACAGAGCGAGGCTGTGATTTCGGCAGGTTCTACTGAATGTTGATACGTTGTCCCTTACATCAGCGATAATGTTTCCGCCTCTTTTGCCTGGCTTTCTTTGCCTTGCGCCGACGATTTGACCCACGTCGGCTTCAAGCGCACCAACGTCTATGTATGTCGGCATGTCGTGCCATGCTTCACAATCGATTTGACCTGCTGTAGCTGCGAGCCGCTGGGCTTGCAAAAGTCCGCTACCTTGAACTCTCGTAGCAGTGAAGAGAGAGGCTACAACGACACGGAGCTGGAGGAACTTGGCGCGCTTTCCTACGTGGAGATGGGAGAAGTGCCTTACGGTACCTGTGTCTGCACCTTTGGGGCGCAGGGGGTGGTACTGGCACTTGGTTGACTGAACGCTCAAGGCACCAACAGCTTCCAAGTGCCGGCCGGAACCGTGCGGTCCAGTTACTCGCACTTCCTGGTCTACTCGCGCTCAGTCGGAGCCTCGGGCGGGGCCGAAGGTCTTCTGCATGCTCGCAAAAGTCTCGTCATGACGGTGGTGATGTTGGCGACTCTTGCTGAAGTCTTGCTTGCTGACTTCCTGTTTTAGGGAGTGGCTTAGATGGAGGTGGTGGGGGTGAATTTTGCTGTCGTTCGTTGGTCGCCTGCTTCCGAGACCCTCGCCGAAGCCTCGACGCCGGCATTTTTGTCCTTCGCCGGCGCCGCCTTGAATGCCTCGGTCACAGAGGTCAACTTCACGGACGATGCAGCTGCACTGCACACAGTCCAGCTCGCAAGCCTCGGTTGCTTGGGTAAGGTATTTGAAACCAAGGAGGTAGCTAACGTAGTGAACACAGCCGTACCCTGCAAGAACCTGATTCTTCCGGCATGTGAGTTTCGGCTGTCACCGTTGTGCAGAGGTTTCTTGTCGTGCCTTTGTCCAGCTTGTCCCCAAACCCCAACACCATCCTGCCGGAACGAAACTTGAAGGACTTCTGAAGTAGTCAGGGCCCCACCCAGTTTCCGACCAGCTCGACCTCGTTCTTGAAGCCAACAGAAGGGCCGGAATCCCTTGGTCACATGCCCTCACCCATCACAGACGTGCACTTTGCAATGGTACCGATGGCCCGAAACTTGGGCATCGCGACCCTGCTGGACCTCGTGCACGTCAAGGCCATGCTGTCCGAGCTGCTTGAGGGCAGCAAACCTCACTTAAAGGAGGCTCTGCAGGCTGCCCTGCGCTGCTTCCCTGACGACTATCCGTTCGACTACCGCAAGTGCTGTCGCGATCCCGGTAACGCGTGGTTCCGCAAGAACGTGGAAAAGCAGTGCTGGGCGGTTCAGAGCGGCATCACCTTCGAGAAGTGCTGTACCTTCAAGTTTGGACCGAAGCTGCGAGGTCTGCCCTATGCTAGCCACGCAGACCCATCTGCACCGACAGAGTTTGACCTGCCCGTTGGCCGCCTGATTTTGAGGTCCGGCTTTGAGGAGGCTTTGGGGGACTTCTGGCCGCCCGGTTGGATTTTTGCGAAGCTGACGGCGGATTTGCCAAGGGCGGTTCAAGACTCTGAAGCCTTCGGCTGGGAGACGGGAGCACAGATGCTCCGGCCTTTGCTTGAATTCAGGGCCTTGCGGATCTTTGACGTCAGCTGTGGACTGGGCTTGAGCTCCATCACGGCAGCGAGAGCAGGTCACAATGTCACAGCCACTGAGATGTCACTGGATTTGCTCCGGATGGCAGGGCAGAACGCGAAGCGGAACGGCGCCCGAGTGCGCTTGCAGCGCTGGGATTTCTTCAGAGCCGCGCACGGGGGTTGGCGTTCTTTTCCGTCGGAGCCCAAGGCTTACGACCTTTGTTTTGTGGATGTCGGCTGGGCCAACGTCCGCTTCCGGGAGTTCCAGATGGGCAGAGGATCGGAGATGCCGGCGTCGGCATGGGCGGCATGGCCCAGCGTGGAGAAGGTGCTGAAGGGCGCCTTGCTGCATTTGCAGCAGCTCGGAGGCTGTCGGCTTCACGCCTTCGTCGCCGCCTCGCAGGTCGTCTCTGAAGAGGGTTTCTACGTGGACGGCCACTTTGGCTTCGCGAACTTCACTTTGGAACTCCTGCAAAGTCTTGCAAAGTTCGCCACGGCTCTGGAAGGTCGCACCAGGCCGAGGTGGCCAGCGGTGAGCCCACTTGGCTTCCTGGAGAAGGTGGGATGGACGCCTCCCATCTGGCACCATCTCATCCTCTGGTAGGACTCGAGAAAAGCTGTGGGACTTGGCAGCCTCGGGGCTGAAAGAACGTTGCTTTTCGAGCCTGTTTAGCTCGATCTGCCGACTCCAGCAGGAGGGAAAATCAAACCCTTCATCGGAACTCCAAGAAAAAGCCCAATCAGCCCAGGACTTGGACCTTGGCGACCTGGGCGGCGAGCTGGTCTGATGCCCGGTCTTTTGTGTGAAGCCCGCACAGGTAAGAGCTCTGTCGGCAAAGGGTGACGGTGCTACAGGGCTGCAGCAAAGCGTTTGGGGTCCACGGCTGCCAGGGCTGGGGCATGAAGTCGGTTTCTCACAGCTTGTGTTGGTAGACTTTTTTCAGGGATCGCTAGCAAACTGAAGACCTTCAGCTGATGTCTCACACCCTGCACCTCTCTGCCACTCGGTTGGCCGCCTCTGCCCGAGGTTTGGACGAAGCCTGCGGTGCTGGGCAAAGTTATAGGCTACAACATCTACCTGGGCGTGGCTTGGCATCAAATCAGACGATGCCCCCTGCACTTTCCTTCGGTCCGCTGAAACCGAAATCCTGGAAAGTTCAGCGCCGCTCTGTGTAGGCACCAAATGTATGACGCAACTGAAACCCGGAAGGCGTGATCTGTGCTCGTTGGCAATTTTCAATCGTCCTTTTGGCAGGGGACCCCACCTTCAAGCATCTGTGACGCAGTACTTAGTAGACTCATCCTGCTCAATACTCGCCAGGGCGGCAGGGACCTTGTAAAGGTTTGAACATACATGCGGCATGCCCGAATGCCATGTCGCCACATACCTTGCCAGAGCACCATAAACACCACGAGCCCCGAATGGTTTGCTTGGTTCAGGATACCGACACATCTGGCTCTGTTCGTTCTTCCTTACTCACGGCGCAAGCTGCTGCATGGCTGCGACAGATAAGATGTAGCTGTGCGGGCTGCCGTGATTAAATCAAGGACCGTGGCAGGAACATGACACCACTCTTGCTGGTGGTTCGTTGGTGTGTCCGAGGGTGGTTTGACGGATGGCTGTAGCTAGCTTTATCTCGGTTGTTGCCCATATGACTGATCTAGCTTGTACTTGAACTGTGTGCTGTTTCGAGGCGGGCAGTAGCAGGAGCAGATCAGCATCATGCCACCGCAGCTTCCCCTCATCTTGAGCGAGGCCACATGAGGCCACCCTTTCTGAATCGCAAGGCCTCCTCCACAAGCTTCGTCATGCCGGAGAATGTGGCCACGCTGACATACAGGCCTCGCCCGATCCACAACCTTTTCTGGGGCTCGAAGTGCCAGCAGCCGCGGCTCCCTTGCGCAAATGAAGCCGCAGGTATGTTCACATCAACTCTTTCTCTGCCTTGGGCGGTGAGCAAACAACGCCTGTGGCCCACGAGTTTTACGACGCCTTCGTGTCTTGGCAAGAGTGATTGGGCTCTGTGCCTCAGAAGATCGTTCAGCCCGTGGTAGGCGCCTTATGCACACCTTTCTTCTGTCAGCTTGATAACAGGCGAACGTTACCGACTTCTTCTGGGTGGACAGGGATCTGGATCCAGGTGAGATTGGCAGCCTTGGCGGCATTTTGGGATGGGGCCATCAGTCTCAGGCCTGCAATTCCGAACTTCACCTGCAAATTGAATCCAAAGAGCAGCTGTTTTACGACCGAAGCCCGGCACAAGACGCTCCAAATCTCACCCCCAAGCCATTTTGATTCTGCTCGCCGTTCTCGAGATGGTACCCAGGTTTGCCGACAAGAAGCGGATTCTGATCTCCGCGGGGTGGCAGTTAGGACCCAGCCTGACTGACCTGGATCCTGCTTAGGCGGTCCCTCGACGTACAATCCGCCGGACTACATCTTTCGCGGCTCAGTCGAACCTTAAACGGGAGTCGCAGCACGTGCTGGGTTTGAGGAATCCTTGGAAATGCACTGCAGGTACGGAGTACTACGTGCTCTACCTGGCTGCTGGGCCCAATGGAGAGGACAGATCTCAGATGGGCCAGGAGGCAGGGCGAGGGCGTTCGGATCCGATTCCTGTCCAGAACCCTTTCTAAGGCACAATTGCAGTCTGACCGCTCTCCCCAGTGTCCCGGCCAGCCAAATCACTGTGCAGGTGCCTGTGGGCATCGAGAGAGCGGACGTGTTTGTGGACACTCCAACGGAGGTTCACGGGTCGCCGGGAGTGGTTCTGTCTTGTAGGTCACAGCACAAGAGCAGCCTCTCGCACCAAATCGAAGAGTTGACACCTCAAGCCATCTCGGACCGCTAATGTTTCTGGCGATCATCATCAGGTGTTTCGGCTTCTGAGCTGAGGGCTTGGGCATTGGAGTGGAGTCTCCGGGCATATCAGGGTTCAGGGCCAATCATCTGCCAGAACTGGACCCACCTGCTCCTCTACGTGCGCTCTCCGCTATTCGAGCAAACAACACCGCAGCTTTGCGAGTCAAGAGCAAATCGAGTTGCTGTGCGGTTTGAAGGCTTCAAGCCTCGCTTTCAGTTGGGGTGAGGGACCGGAACTTCGCGTTTCACCATTTTCTTGACATCCATTCCCATCGCATGTATGTATACATTTGTACTGTATACGCATACATCTACATATACATATACAAATACACATACACATGCATAAACATACTGCTGTACATATAGAAATACAGATACATATACGAATACAGATGCATATACAGACACGGGTACATATACAGATACATGTGCATATACATATATATATAACTGGTTTAACTTCTATATACTTATATGAACAAGACTTTTTTAGACCACCATATATATACATATGTATATATATATATATATATATATATATATGTATGTGTGTGTATACATAGTACAGATATATCATATGAACAAAGAACTCACATGCACACACACAGAGACACGTCTGCTACTCCTTTTCATAGTGACCTGCAGCCCACCTATTTTCCTGCCTCCTGAATTCGGGGTTTCGGACCCACGTAAGATCCTTGGAAAGCCAATGTTCCCGTAGGGTTCCTTCAAGAAGCATCGGAAAACAACTATGTGTTCCGTGATTTCCATGTCGTCCGAGGAATCTCCAGGAGCTGAGTCTGGAGATCTTCCAAGATCATGTAAAACATGGAAAAACCACCACCAGTACCTTCGCACATGTCCTCGAAGAAACATTGGTAAACCAATGCTTTCGATGATTTGCATGTATACGGCATGCAGATAGTGTTCAGAAGCTTTTCACGTTCAACTAGCATATACTCAAGACAGTACTCCGACATTACCAATTTCTGGGATCCGTGTGTTGATGTTGGGCACACGTACAAGCAGCATCCCACCAATGTTCAAGCAGTGTATGCATTTAACATGTCGCTTATGTGTGGGTTATGTCATTAAGTGTAAGCACATACAGAACGAATCCAGCTACTGGCTGAATAAAAGATATGAGCTGTGTCAGCACGTGTCTCATGTTCAAGCATGTACTAGTCGAGCAGCATTTAACTCGATTTCAACAAATCTTTCATGGATATTTACCCAATGTGTTTCAGTCAAGCAGTATCAGTGAATCTCGGAAGAATTGATCAGTGCATGCTTGCTGATCAGATAGGTAATCATGCAAGACGTAATAGTTCAGCACTTACTGTTTTCCTTGGATGTCTGACTACCACGTATTTCGTGAGAGTGAGATTTTCGTGGAGTGCGAAAGTTCGAAGATAATATTAGCCAAAGGCGAAAATGTGTAATGTTGTGTGCAAAGCGCAATATTGTAGACATATCCCGAAGAGATGAACTACACACTGCCTAAGCTGTGTATGCCAAATTTGTTTTCATGTGCATTGCATTCTACCGGCTTTAAGCTTTACATGTGACCGTAGTATTGAACAATGTGTCAGTATCTTTCAGGTTTTAAGTATATGAGAGTGATAATGGATGTTCTGTGGACATGCCGGTCAAACGAGTATCAGGCAATTATGAGTACATCAAGCATGTTTTTTCCTTCCCAATGCTAGTTGCACATACATGTACGTGTAGATCGCAGTACTGATCATCAGCAAAGTATCTGGCGAGCCTTATAACTACACGCAAACCAAAGTCAAAATCGGAACACACTGTACATATTACGGCCGACAAGTACGAATCCAGCAGCAGGTTCCCAGTTAACTACATATGTATGAATTTAGTTGAGAAGTATGAGTTGAATATTGAACAGGTATCAGTGCACTCGTACCCAAAAATCGCTACTTTTGCTTCAACCATGAAAACAACCATACTGGATTCGATCGCCACCGGCGGGAGATGAATGCATGGGTTCGCATGTCCTTGCAAGTTGGCGGATTGTGCCGTTGTTGGTGGTATGTTCACATGGGAGCATGTCATGTCGATTGTTTAGCACTTATCATGATGCCCCATCTCTCGTGCAGCAGGAGAATAAGTTATAGCATGTTATAGCTGGACGTTTGCTTTGGACAGCAAGCATAAGCGTGCGGCATACAAACCAAAATCGTGAACGCCAAATTCACCGGCATTCTCGCCTTTATCGGTTCTTAGTGTACCAACATGAGACAAACCCGCTCCTTGGACAGCAAAGGGGGCCCACCACAATGCACATCTCCGTTGCATCTCTTGCCAGGGCTTCGGCACGAGAAACGGGTTTCTTCTGATGCTGGCCCCAGGGGTGCCTTTTCCTTTGCTCTTCTTGGACATGTTGACGCTTCGGATGCTTATGAGCGCAGCTCATTTCTCGGCGAGACTTGCTTTGGATTGTTTTGCGTTCTGTGGAGCCCAGTTCTTCACTTCATATGCATGTATAAGCAGAGGTCTGCATATGTGTATGTATGTATGTATGTAAGTATGTATGTATGTGTATTCGAGTACTACATGCATGTCTGCACGTATGTATGCGATGTATGAATATACGTATGTGTATGTACGCATGCCTGATGCAGGGCCTGCCCCCGTCTCCGCCCCAAACCCCATGGCCCCATGGTATCCGCCCCCTCCCTTGCCGCCCTCTTTGTAGCGTGATGCCCGTGGTCTCTTGGGTGCCTGGTCTCTCGGCTTCTTTACCCCGTCCGCGTGGGGTGGTGCCTGTGGTGTTAGCGGTTGGCTGGGTAGGCAGGAACACCGGGCTTCTTTCCAAGCTTAAGGTCGAAATGCTATGTTTGCTCCAGCACGCCACCAAGCAGAAGTCTCTGTCTGTCAGCAGCCAAGTCCACTCCAGAGCTTTCGTCCCAGCCTGCCCTGCGGCTTTCAACTTAGTGTTGCAGCACTGCTGCGACTCACGACTCTGGACGAAATCACGAGCAGACCCTGCTGAAACATAGACAGAGTGCTGGGAACACGGGAGTCAACCTGTGTTGCGCCAACGGATTTTCTGTGTGAGCCGTGCTTCGAAGGAGCTCATTGGGAGGGGGTTAGCATTCATGATGTGTTACTACATGGCATTATATAGACTACAGGTGTGTAACATCATAAAAACAGTATATGTAACATCATTTGATCTTGATCAACGGACATTTTGCGGTCCATAGGGAGAGAATGCAGCAGATCCACTGGTGCAGGCAGCCCAAGTGGGCAGAATATATTTCGCTGGCCTTTCTTGGGTTTCAGGGGGCATTTTCTAGACTGTACATGGTGCTGACAGGAGCCTTAGAGCCTTTCCGCAAAGTCGTCAAGCCGAACAGAGAGAGCTCTGCAAACCCTCAGCCTGAACACTATTCGCTCAAGTCCTCAGCCAGACACCCTGAAAGCCAAATGCCATGCTCCGCACAACTGCCCTGGGAAGTTCGAACACCTTGCCCATGGAAGTCGGTCCAGTTGCAAGACCTTGAGCTTCAGACCAAGGCAAGTACTTCCCATCTCGGACGCGGCTTTGTCGGCCTCTCGGCCATCGATTTTCGGTGAGCGTTGATTTTGCAGTGGCTCCTGTTGCCACAGTTGTCGTCTTTGGCGCCGTAGATAGTTTCGCCGACCTTCGTCATTTTGAAAAAGATTCAGGATTGTGAATGTTGACAGAGCAAAAGCTATCGGCTTGGCGCGCGAATGGAAGGGTTGCATTTTATGACTCCGGGTCTCATTTCGCTGACGCGAGCATAAGTCCTAGTTTCAGGTAGATTTCAGAACGGCACAGCGCACCTAGATATGTATCCTCAAGACCTGTTTTGCAGTGAGCACAGGTTGATGACCTTGAGTTCTTGGACCAGGCTCCGCAAGTGTATATGCCAGCTTATCTCTAGCCTGCTTGCTTCGCTCTTGACAAATCAATGGCCATCACCAATGAGGCTCTGTCTTGCTGTAAAATGCCACAGGACCTGGATGCCGAACAGCTCGGAGGTGCGCCGAGCACAAGTGAATGACTTCGTACAGTTCGTTTGTAAGGTCGCTCCCCCCGTGCATTCGAAGCCTGTGTAGACCAAAGTTCACTCGAAGCCATCCGACACCCCGAATGATGAACCCAACACCACGAGCCAAAAGTCTTTAGCCAGTTCCCGCCCCCGTGCACAGCCGCGACAGCAAAGACTAGACTTACATCATTACCAACGATGCTTGTGCTTGTACGGGTATTTTTGCTTGGCTTCTTGGCCGCATCTAGGTTCATACTTGTAAGTGAAACCCCCAGGCGCGCCTTGGCAGAAGGAGCACTCCTCGTAGCTGCAGCAGACGAACCAGAGAATCTGAAGTATGATCTTGATCTGATGTTTCAGCAATCGTACAGCTGCCTCGGCCCTGTTAGGCCATGGTGTGCCAGGGCCGGTCGCTACAGGTTTGATATTCTGCCGATTATAATAGGCCTCCATTTTTGGAGTCATGAAGGCTTGATCTCCAACGACAACCTTTGGGTTGGGCAAGAAGAACAGTCGTAGTCGTCATAGGAGTTAGTAACTCAGTATACTCAGAGTGCTTGGATACAGAGGCAGCACTATATACACATAGCAGCGCCACAAAGACGATACGACCTGAACCAAGCGATGTTGTTCATAGCAGCGCGAAAAAGCATCGGTGTTGAACGCAGCAGCATGCAGCAAAGGCAATAATGACCAGCACCGTCACAAAAAGCATCGCAGTGATCACTCAGCTATCATTGTCACAGTCCGGCCTGATTGCTGTGTCGTTGTCATCATACTGCCTACCGCATCTTCGTGCTCTTCATCTTCGCGGTCATCCTCACCGACATCGAGCCTCATGGTCCACTCACAACCTTAGGTAGTTTGTGTTTACAGTTTGCTCGTGCTGCTGTCCGAATTTCCGCAGGATACATTACCTGGAGTCGCGTTCCAGACGAGAGCCTGGTGACGCACTATGCAGCCTGACTGACACTACCCGTCACTACCCACATTTCTTTGACCGATGAGCTTTTTTTGTTTTTCCTAGGCCCCTCATCCCCCAGATAGCAAATGCACCCTTGGCGTTGTCGTATAGAATCTATGATTTGTAGGTTTGGAGCTTTGAGTTTTCTAGGCGTGGAGCTGTATGTCGGAAGGCTTAGACACCATTAGGCCTTAGGGTTTTTGGGTGTGGGTTTCGACGAGCCCTGCGAAATCGAGGAACAAAATCCTGCTCCCTTTGTGCATTCAGATTCCTACAGGTCATCTATTGGACCGAGCTGCCGAACACTACGGAGGTCGGCTTTAAACTCAAAACGGGTCTAAAGCCCTCGACACCCTGCTGAGAGGTCATTGATCAGTCCGGTTCGCGAAGACTGGAGGATGAGGCCTCTGACGGAAAGTCTGACGCGCGAAGGTTGGCCGGTAGCTCCTTGGCATGCTCATAGTCTAGGGTCAGGGTCATGTCTCGTCTCACAATCTGAGCTTGGGCCTGTATGTTGTAGTAGCCCAAAGCACTGAGTCTGATCCAGAACCGTCTCCCTAAAGTCCGATTCGCCTGACAGTAGCAGTAGCAATTAGCAATAGCAATCGCAGCAGGCAATTAGCAATAGCAATCGCAGCAGGAGTTGTTGTTGTTGTTGTTGTTGTTGTTGTTGTTGCTGTTGCTGCTGTTGCTGCGGCAGCTGCTGTTGCTGCTGCAGCTGCTGCTGCTGCTGCTGCTGGCACAATGTCGGTGATGAACGTGTTGATCACTGTTCTGTTGGTTCCAATAATATTCTTGTACGAATATCAGAAGGCTCTGCGCAAACATTCATTCACACTTCAAGCCTCTCAGCTCTCTGAGCTGTCCCTGTGCAAGTCCAAGGGTAGGTACAGTTTAGTTGCTTCAGTTCATCGTGAGTCCACCAACTTCACACGATTTTCCCACTTGCTGCTGCTAGCCCAGGCAGCACCACCGTTACGGACACCACGCCGGCGGCCAAGCAGCCGCAACCTCCGGCGCTTTTCGACGCGGGTTGAGTGATACCAGGGCTAGAGATTGCCAGACTTTTTCACGGCCAAGTGATCCGGACTGAGACTATTCTTGAGCAGTGGACCCGGCCCACACGAAAGCACCGATCTGCCCATGATTCATGACAGTTGCACAAGAGCATGATTGAACAAAAGCCGGCTCCTTCAGGTCGAGCTTGTCCAGCACCTCGACTGTCAGCAGCTCCACGCCCCTGGGCGTCGCAAGCAAGAAGCTTCTTTCAGTGCATCGTTCCCAAACGGTGACAGGTTGAGGGCTTTGTGAGTCCTTCTGTCCCTCTAGTCTTAAATTCGATCATATTCGATCTTACAGGTATACAGTGTCAGTGACAGAGACGATGCAACCGCCACCAGCCTGTCTCCTGCGCATGAGGACGGTCACCCTCACGTCATCGACGTCGAGCATTTCCGCCTCTTGCCATCACCCTTCGATCCCTAAACCGACGGACTTTTGCCTCGAGACTCGCGATTGAGGTTTAGGATAAAGGGTTGCAGAGGAAGCAAGCTGATATCCAACATGGGAATCGATGGCGTGCTGTGGAAAGGCTTGACGAAATGTGCTTCATCGCGTGTGTTGCACAGTGTGCGGCGAAATGGCTTGCGCAGCCTTCTTTGACGTGTTCGGTGCATCGGCTGCAAAAGCCTAGTACAATCTCGCCAAATCCTATCTGGCGCTCTAGAAACTATGTCCCACGGAACGCGGCGTTAACAGCACTCCCCATGTTCCTGGACTCAGCCCGACTCAGCCCTCGTGCCACTAATTTCGATCCGCCTGCCTTTGCTATTCGTGCCTCTGTCCTCGAGCTCTCCAGCGGGTGTTGACGGGTTTGGAGATTCGGCTTTTGAGGGTTCCGGGCATGCTCTGGTTAGCTGCATGTGAAAGAATTTGGACACTGCTAAGTCGACAAGCACGATCACGAGCACATCCTCGACGTTCACGAGTACATTGTCGACGCTCACAAGCACATCATCCAGTGCCACCAGCACGAGCGTATCAAGTGTCACCTGCCCGCAAATTGGGCTGGGGCTTCTGGGTCTGTGAGGCGCCAAGAAGAGATTTGGGACAGTTCCCATCCGGCTGTGCGTTGTCTGTGTTGCTGCATGTGCAAGCTGCTAATTAAGTCGACGTCGACCCGCACTATCACGAGCACGTCATCCACATTTTCAAGTACATCGTCGAGTGCCACCAGGACAAGCACAACAAGCGTCGCTGGTCTGTATGGTCCGGATGGCTGTAACCGTGATGTTGTGATTCACTCTGGTACCCACGGCTGGTGCTTGCCGCTCTAGGCTTGCATCCATGAGCAGATGTGCTGTAACCAGTCCCGGTTCGGCCGATGTGGTCGTCGCTGAGGTCTCCTCGAGCACCACTTCTACTTCGGCTGCTCCGGCTGCATCTGCAAGCCCTTTGCGCTGTCACGCACCCATACGCACCCCTAAAGAATCTAAGCTCAAAATGCAGGTGAAGAACGATCTCATGTCCCTGCTGTGACTCTTGAAGAAATCACATGTCCAGTGCGTAGAAGACAGGTGCGTCGAACAACCGATGCCAATTGTCTCGAAGGTCCCCTTTAGCTACGGATGTAGCATGCCGAGTGCCGAGAATGGAAAACATGTGCGACTGAGATCACCTGAGGGCCACGAGTCTTCAGGTGGTAGCGGAGCGCTGAGTGGCCACCTCTACTGAGGGCGGCCTAGGTGCGCACGGTCTCCGAGTTTGAATTCTTGGCAACATGGCGAGCACGTTCAAGGATGAAGGGTCAAGGCTTGAGCGGTATGATGGTTCCATGCCGGCAACATACCGGAAGTGGAGAAGGAAGGCAGAGATTATGCTCATGGCTCTTCCTACGACGTATCCCAAGGAAAAGTGGGGTGCACGGCTGATGGAGTACGTAGGCGGCGAAGCAGAGGAGGTGGTCGAGACCATCAGCATGGAAAAGGTGACGAAGGAAGATGGCTACACCTTAGTCTTTGCGGCGCTGGATGACAAGTACAAAGAGCTGGATAAGGACGCCTTGCATAAGCATCGTACAGAGTACTTCTATGGAGTGACTATCAAGTCGGGCGAGACCTACCGGAACTTGGTAGTGCGGCTGGAGACTGCTTACAGGCGTTTGCAAGAGCATAAAGTGGAGCTGCCGGAAGAAGTGAGCGGATGGAACCTGCTGCGAAAGTTGAACATGGAGGCAAATGCTGAAGCGATGATCTTGACACACACACACACACACAAAGGGATCGCTGAAGTATGCCGAGGTCAGCAAGGCGGTGACCAACATCTTCCCACAAGGCGTGGCTAAGGGCACGTCGGGCCGTACAAAGGAGGTCTTCGAGGCCTCTGTCAATGAGGAGGACTACCAGGACGAGACGGCCGATGAGGTGGACGAAGTGTACCAGGCGGTGGCAGATCAAGTCCAGAGCAATCCGGAGTATGATGATGAAGACACGCTGGACGTCTTTGAGACCTACAAGGAAGCACGACGCCAAGTCCAACAACGCAAGATGGGTCGAGGATATCGACCGACCAGCCAAAGGCCGGAGTGGACATTGACGGGAACGGTGAAGGGACGCATCGAGCAGCTCAAGCAGAGAACGAAATGTCACCTTTGTCATGAACGTGGTCATTGGAAAAAGGAGTGTCCCAAGCGGAAGAACAGTGGCCCAACGACCAAGGACGCCATGATTGCTGAGGGTCCTACCGACGGATGGAAGGACCTGGGACAGGAGCACTTCATCGACGAGGACAAGATCGGTGAGTTGGAGGTGTTTCTGGCCGAGCGAGGTGATCAGGTCGACGTGGTCATCGCTCCGACGGGCGAGAGCGTGAACGATGACGGCGAAATGAGAGGGGACTTTGAGCAGAGTCTACTTAGGTTTTTTTCAGAGGCGCAAGGATCAGACGCCCAATCCAGCGAGGCATATATGGCTGATCTGTCGTGCCACGGGGTTCCAGACACTGCTTGCAGAAGGACTCTAGTTGGGGAGTCTGTGTTTTGATGAAGATCATGAGTTTCCTTTTGGCAATGCTGGTGTTCTGAAGAGTCACAAGAGTGCCTTGATTCCGATAAGTCTTGGAGGCAAGCTTCTAGCAATCCGGCAGTTAGTGTTGTGTCGGTATGGGGTTACGATTCAACTTAAAGAGACTGATCGGGGGCACTATGCAATTCCGTTGTTTGAGGGCTTCAAGAAGGGCAAGCTTGTCGAGAACCGCAAGAGACCGAATGAACATGGCAAGACGCAGAACCTGAATGACGCGGAGGGTTCAGCTGTTCAAGCCGACAAGCCCGTAGCATCGCAGGCCTTAGTTAGCGACGATCATGAGCTACGCGACAGGCAGCGGCGACACCCCGATGGTCAGCGAGGAGGTAGTGAGAACGCCGATTGTGGACCGTCTGCTGCAGGATCTCAGCTCAGAGCTTCAAGAGCAGACGGATGCAGTGCTGGGGGCATCGATTCTCGATGCGAGCTCAGATCACAGCGAAGACGAGCCAGAAGGGCTCGTCAGCGGGCTAACAGGCGCAAAGATCTTCAACGTGGGGAAGTACGAGAAGATGAAGAAGGTACCGACAACGTTCAGTTCGGCATACATCAACGACAAGAAGTATGTGGCATGGGTCCGGAAGTTCATCAAGGACCAAGAGAACAAAGGTGCAAAGGCGACAAGCCATCCAACGATGGCAATGTTTCGCCTCTACATCGAGCTTCGCGACCAGCAGAAGACGAAGAGACTCAGGAATGCCACATTACCGGTACGTGTGCCACGGACAAGGACGGAGGATCACGGCTATGGGGGCGGCAATGCTCGGACAATGCAGGCGCCTATGGTGGCCACACCCAAGACTCGGACGAGGCCAACGAGACCATCGACGCCATTGAGGATGGCGCCCGACTCGGAGTGGCTGGTGATGCAGACCGAGGAGTCGAGTCCGAATCCAGAGGAACAGCCTCGACGCCTTCTTCGTCAGCAGATCGAGGCAACGACCCACGAGCTGGAGTTCTTGGAGGAGCAGCAGGAGCTGTGAGTTCCGAGTGCCACGGCATGAACACTATGACCAAAAGTGAAAGGAAACTGTGCAGGCGTGGACTGGATATGTGCGCAAAGAGGCCGGAGACGGGATATGTGGAGCCATGTGGTGTGGACATTCTGTTTCTGGAAGAAGATAGCGCTATGTCAGTGTTCACGGCAGTAGGCTTTCGCTGTCAAAGTATTTTTCCTGTTCTTGATGCAGCGGATGTTCGCAGCAGTGCAAAGCAGCAGAGTGCGATCGAGTGCATTCGCAAGTTGAAGCCGAAGCTTCTTGTGCTGAGAACTCCTAGTCACTAGTCACATGACTAAGACAGTCGGCGGAGTGCACATGTGCAGGACTTTTACTGCGAGGCATAGGGCCATGTTCACGCGATGGGTTGTGTCTTGTTGTGCTGAGCAGCTGTGTGAGGGTCGCATGTTCTGTGTTGAGGAAGTCAATGATGCTGTGACGGACAGGGTGAATGCATGGCGTAGGATTCGTGACGATCCTGAAACCAGAAGAGTGGAGAGAGCGAGCGGCGATGGTGATGCGTGGAGAATGTATACCAACTGTCGTCAGATCGCTGAGAGAAGCACTAAGAACTGGCTGAATGCTGGTGATTAGCGTGATGTGCGATGCTTCCAGAAGGATGTGGCCGTGCATTGCGTGTACACCATCGAGAGTCTGAGAGGTGCTGATGATGAGAATGAGAAGAAGATCATGCTGATGCTGAAGAAGTGTCGTGAGAATCTTGGGCATCCCTCGGTTGCGCGCATGACGATGCTGCTTAAGCATGCGCATGCGAGTGAAAATAGGTGATTAAACTTGCGGGAGGGCTCACTTGTGAAACATGTCAAGAGCTGAGCAAGCCTAGGAGTCACCATGTCGCCAAACTGAGAAGAGCAAGTGAGTTCAATCAGCAGTTGTGCGTGGACACCTTTGAGTTGGAGGTTCGGGATTCCAAGTTGCACTTTCTCAATATTGTTGATGAGTCTACGGGTTATCAGATGTGTTTACCGTTGTGGAAAGGCATGCAAGCGAAGAACATTCGAAACACTTATCGCAAGGGCTGGCAACGCTGGGCTGGTCCACCGGTGAGGGTGTTCTGTGATGGGGGAAAGGAGTTTGAAGGGGAGTTCGAGCATGGTCTGTCATTGGATGGGACCTACCTTGAAACTTCTGCTGCGTATGCTCCTTGGCAGAACGGCCTGGTGGAGAAGCGCGGGGACATTTGGAAAACAGCTTACGCCAAGGCTCAGGTGGAACGAGGCCCAGGACCAAGGCTGAAGTGCAAGAGCTGATTGACTGTGAACAATGCTGTTAACTCCTTGACTAGGAAAGGCGGCTTTGCTCCCAATCAACATGTCTCTGGTCGTGATGTTCGGTTGCCTGGCATGCTCACTGACGATCATGATTCTGTTATCAACTCGTCACTTGTTCATGGAGAGAGCATGTTTGAGAGAAGAATGCACATGCGCAGTGCTGCTAGGAAGGCGTTCGTTGAGGCTGATGGAGAGAGGAAAATCAGGAAGGCGTTGGAACACAGGTCAAGGCCAGAACGAGGACCCTTCCATGAAGGCGATCTTGCCTTCTTTTGGCGAAAGAACAGGTTTGATACCAAGCATCATTGGCGTGGGCCGGGAGTGATCATTGGGAAAAGCGGGGGTTCCAAGGTTTGGGTTGCTAGGGGCTCAAAGGACTACAGGTGTTGTCCTGAACAGTTGAGAAGACTTAGCCCAGACCAGGAAGCCATGATACGCATGTTACCCATTGACATGGTCCAGATGAGAGAGAGTGTGAGTGCGCGTGGAGCTGGGAACTACTTAGACCTGAGCATATTGGAGAGGCCACCTGATCAAGCAGAGGAGCCACAGGAAACACCAGGTGAGATGCAAGGTGATGCCAATGCAGGTGTGTGGTCGAACCATGGAGGAGAAGAGTTGTCACAACAGGCGAGCGACCACAACGACGACAATGCTGCTAGTGCTGCACCTGCTGTTGCTGCTGCCGCGCCAGTGTCAGTTGAGTCAGAGCGTGTGGTGGAGCATGATGATGGTGACAGCTCGCCTTCAAAAAGGGCGAGAGTGCAGGAGCAGCTTGATCACACGCCACTTGTTCGTGCCATGCGGTTTGATCCTCAGTTGCTTGATTCTGGTGCACCGCGTGGCAGTGCACAAGGTCCGTTGTATGCGGCAGGAGCTCACGAGGTTCCTGTTCCTGATGAAGCAGAGGATGACCTTGAAGTGCATGCGATTATTGGTTGCTTGATCATCGTTGGCGCAAGTTGGTGCGGATGCATGTCGTTGAGCGTGATGTCGATTACTGCCCCAAACCGTGTGAGTTGCCTGTTGAGGAACGGTGTGTTGAAGAGGATTGTGTTCGAGTAAAATACTACAGGCATGGTGGCAAGGCGTGCATGAGTTCTGCATGGCGTGCTGGCGTCAGAGGTGACTCCAATTCTGGGCTGTGGACCGGGAAAACTGAGTTCAGCTTGAAAGAGGGCTGGAAGTGGAAATCCGACGAACAGGAGTGCCACGAGGTTACCAGCAAGAAGGGCAGGAAGGAGCTCAATGAAAATGAAATCAAGGAGGATCGGAAGCAAGGCTTGATGGCGGCAAAGATGAAGGAGTGGAAAAAGTTGCTGTCAAGTGGGGCGATAGTTGTGCACACGGGCAAAGATGCTGAAAGGATCCGGCGTGAAACACCACGTGATCGGTTTCTGAAGTCAAGGTTTGTTTTGACGGAGGCTGAACCAGGAGCCTCACCAGAAACGTCAGACATCAAGGCCAGATGGTGTATTCGAGGTTACCTTGATCCCGATCTGTTGACTCTTGACACTTGTGCTCCTACCCTGTCGGCAGAAGGGCTGGCATTGGCTTTGCAGTTGAGTGCCTCCATGAGGTGGCGCATTCAGATTGCTGATGTTGAGGGAGCCTTTCTCAGGGGTGACAAGCTGGAGCCAGGCAGAGGCAGAATCTTCATTGAGGTTCCTCCAGGAGGAATCGAAGGGCTTGAAAAAGGGAGTGTTGTGGAGGCCATCAAAACAGTATATGGCCTGGCTGACGCTCCAAAAGCTTGGTGGCAGTGCTTCAGTAAACGACTGGCAGGCCTAGGACTGAAGCCGCGTGTTTTACGACTACCATGGGGGTTCAGTTGCCGGCGTGGTTGCTTTGCATGTTGATGACTTGTGTCTGGCAGGAAACGAGCATTTCGAAAAGAATGTATTGCAACCGTTGCGCGCCATGTTCCCTTTCAAGCATTGGAAACAAGGTGAAGGCCAGTTCCTTGAAAAATACCTGCGACAAGAGGCGGATTTCAGCATAAAAATCACGCAGTGTGAGTATGCACAAGAGGTTTGAGGTGTGCAGTTGTCGAGAGAGAGAAGAAGAGACAAGTGTGAGAGCGTTACTGAAGATGAGCGACAACAGATGAGAGGAGTCCTTGGAGGGATGAACTGGCTTGTGAGTGGCAGTCGTCCTGACCTTGCTGCGTGGAGTTCTTTGATGCAACAACGTGTGAACTGTGCAAACGTTGCCGATTTGATTGAAGTCAACAAGTTAGTGAGTATGGCACACGATGGCAAGGAGGCTCACATATGGATCAAGTCCATACCAGCGGACAAGGTGCAGTTCGTCATGCTGTCTGATGCTGCATGGGCAAACGGCAAGGACTGCTGTTCCCAGGCGGGCTATATGATAGCTGCATGCGACGAGCGGCTTCCAGCTGGTGAACGGGGCGAGTTCTCCATTTTGAGATGGCGAAGTTACAAGCAGGACAGACAGACGCATTCTACGCTGGGTGCCGAGTCACTTTGAAGAGGACTAGCAGAGTGTCGCTGGGTTCGTGCAATGTGGTGCGAAGCTACTTGTGAGAACTACGAGCTTCGACAAGATCACCAGTGGAGCTGCAACATTCCGGTGACGGCTGTAATTTACTGCAAACCAGTCTTCGATCATGCCAACAGTCCGACGGTGGCCATCAAGGACAAGAGGATGGCTATTGAGATGTTGTTATTGAAAGAAGACATAGGCATGTACAATGTCAGCTTGCGTTGGATGGCTACAAAGCAGATGATTGTGGATGTTCTCACGAAGAAGGGTGCGCAGTTAAGTCTCTTTAAGAAGGTGGTTCGGGATGGTTGGTTTATACTCGTAGAGGACGAAGCGGTGTTGGGAGTTACTTCTAAGAAGTCTCCCGCGTCTGGACATGTTAATCCCGGGATGTGAAGAACGAAATCATGTCCCTGGTGTGACTTTTGAAGAAATCACATGTCCAGTGCGTAGAAGACAGGTGTGTCGAACAACCGATGCCAATTGTCTCGAAGGTCCCCTTTAGCTACGGATGTAGCATGCCGAGTGCCGAGAATGGAAAACATGTGCGACTGAGATCACCTGAGGGCCACGAGTCTTCAGCAGGTCTAATGCATCCAAACATGAGGAAAACTGCAGCAAAACACAAATAACATGCATGAACACATAATTTATCCTTTCCCCCTAATATGAGCGGGGGGCCTCCAAACCCCCCCAATAGAAATTGTGAAAGTGCGTTTAGTATTAGGGTGTATTTTTATCTTCACTGCCACTTTTGAGGGGGTCGTCTTGCTCCCGCACTGGCTTTTGCTCCTGCTTCTGCTGCGTCTCTTGCTGTTGCTCCTGCTTTTGCTCCTGCTCTTGCTCCTGCTCTTGCTCTGAGTCCTGCTCTTGCTGTGATCCAAGGGTATTTGAGGAAACCCTCCCGCCTAATTCGGAACATTTTCCAATTATTTTGAAAGGGCAGGGATGATTTCGGGAGGATTCGCCCCAACGTGTTTGTATTGTTAGGGGGTGTTTAATAGAAGGGGGAAGGGATTAACATGCAAACAACAGCTAAAGCGCTCACTGCTATGGACAGACACAAGCGGAGGGGAAAACAGAGCGAAAGAACTAAGGAAAGAGGCAGAGATAAGCATTAAAAGCAAAGCTAGTTCATTCTTGTGGTTTGAGGCGGGCTGTACACGGGCAAGGTCGTGTTGAAGCTACTCGAAAACTGGCATCTACATCTACAGGGCAGGGTTTTTTGTTCCGCGTGAAGCCATTCTGGAATTGCATTTTGCTACGACCTGTTCTGAGGCGAGGCACTGTGAACCGGGATTTTGCGGAATTTGAATCCCGTAGGGCATAACAAGTCTATTCGAAAACTACTGGCAGCATTGACCAGGTTTGGTTCTTTGGAAGCCATTAGGGACTGCAACTTGCTCCGACCCGGAATTAGATTTTAGGCCTGGAATAGTTTGCATCGAAATAGAGCCTGGCAAAGTGCAACTTGCCCCCAACACCTTGCCAATGGTATGGTTAAACTCCCGAAGATCCTGCCTGATTCATTTTGTTTTTAAATGCATTTTCAAGTTTCTGACTGATGTGTGGATAAATTTGATGGTGATTCATTTTTGCTTTCCTGAGTCCCTCACTCCTCATCATCTGACAGCGACAGTCGAGTGGTGGTTGGGCGCCGCTTCTTCGAATCCTGCGGCGTCCCAGGGTTACGGATCTGGTCCAAGCAAGGCATCGACCAGCACCACGGAATCTACCACCTCCAACACTGCGACATCGACATCCGCAACAATGACCTCCACCTCGGCCGAAACTCTGATGCAAGCAGACTTGCGGGGTCCCCGCTGTGAGCTCACTTGCCGTTTCAAAGGTGCTGGAATGTTCATGTTCAGCACAGTCGCAAGTTCCCGTCTCGATCTTTCTCCCCCCTGCTGCCACTCCGTCACCGCTCCGCCTCATGCTGCTGACACTTCCACCCGTCCTCCGACAACAAGACTAATAATGTCTATGACAATGTTAACAACAGTACCAACAAGAAGACCCCCACCTTTAACACCAGCAGCAGCAGCAGCAGCAGCAACCAGAAGAATAATTACAATGAGATTGGCAAGAAAAGCAAGAGCAACAGCGCGAGCAATAGCAAGAACACAATCAAGAGCAACAGCAATAGCAGCAGCAGCAGCCCACAGCCACAGCCACTACTACTCCACTACCACTACCACCACCGCAACCACCAAAACCACCACAACCACCACTGCTACTACTACTACTACTACTACTACTACTAGTACTACTAGTACTACTACTGCTGCTACGACGACGACGACTACTACTGCTACTGCTACTGCTACTGCTACTGCTACTGCTACTGCTACTGCTACTGCTACTACTACTACTACTGCTACTACTACTACTACTACTACTACTACTACTACTACTACTACTACTACTACTACTACTACTACTACTACTACTACTACTTACTACTACTACTACTTACTACTACTACTACTACTACTACTACTACTACTTACTACTACTACTACTACTACTACTACTACTACTACTACTACTACTACTACTACTACTACTACTACTACTACTACTACTACTGCTACAACTACTACGACGACTACCACTACTGCTATTGCTAGTACGACTACTGCTACTACTGTTGCTTCTACGACTGCTACGCCTACTGGTACTAGTACTGCGACCTACTACTACTACTACTACTACTACTACTACTACTATTATTTCTAGTACTACTGGTACTACTACTGCTGCTACGACGACGACGACTACTACTACTACTACTACTAGTACTTGTACTAGTACTAGTACTAGTACTAGTACTAGTACTAGTACTAGTACTAGTACTAGTACTAGTACTAGTACTAGTACTAGTACTACTACTACTACTACTACTACGACTATTACTACTACTACTACTACTGCTACTACTACTACTACTGCTACTACTACTACTACTACTACTACTACTATTACTACTACATACTTTTCATAGTACCAATACTATTAATGCTATTAATACTAGTAATACTACTGCTACTACTGCCACTACGAGTAGTATTGCTACGACGACGACTACTGACGACTTCTTCTACTGCTGCTGTCACTGCTACGACTATTACTGCACTGCGATCATGACTACGAGTCATAGTCAAGCACGACAACTACGACGACTACCACTCACCACCTACTACGACTGCTACGACTTCTGCTGCTACTGTTGCTGCTACTGTCGTTCCTGCCACTGCTACCACTGCTGTTGCCACTGCTGCTGCTGCTGCTATATAATGCTACTGCTACTGCGACTGGCAACGCCAATCGCGACTGCGGCCAGTCTTGCGCATGCTGCTTATGTTTGAAGTACTTGACGCTTCACCCGCGTCACCATGGTCACGGAGCATGCCCGCCATCCTCACATTCTCATCAGCAGTGTCCTCAGAGTCGTCAGCAGTAGCACCTCACTCCTCATCTTCGTCGTCCATCACAGTCCTCAACATCATCGCCATCTTGTCACTATTCAGTCTGCTTCATTCTGTGTTACCATGCATCAACCGTTAATCGCCTTCGGCATCCCCATCGACGTCCTCCTCATCGCCGCCAACGTCGCCAGTTTTGGCAAAGCACGATCGTCGTCGTCGTCGTCGTCACCATCCTCCTCCTCATGGGCACCACTCTCATCATCAACATCATCATCATCAGCCTATCATCTTCCATCTATCATCTATCATCATCACCATCACCGAGGAAGGGTTCTGCAGGGATGATTTCTGCCCCACACCCTCTGCAGACTGTGTCCTCTACATCCACATCTTCCGCATCAACCTCCTCCACGATAACCTCTTCCACATCGGCCTCCGCTACATCAACTTCCTCGTCCAGTGTCGCTCCGATCTGTTTCGGAGAACAGTAGGGCATAGGGAAGATCTGCTTTCAGACCGAGAAACGCATATGCTGCATTGGCCTTAGCAAAGCGCGGGATGTGGACGTCTTTCGCACTGTTCAGATACGACCGTACTGATGACTTCCAAGTGTTTATTTGCGCGCCGGTTTGTCTTTTCGGTTGCATCGATTTGGCTTGCACTTGAAGATGCAGTCGCGAAACGCGGCATGGCCGAAGGCCTCGAGTGGCTGTGTTGCTTTTAGTTGCCTGTCCAAAAGTTCAGCTACGACCATTCGGAGCGCGAGGCTACTGTCACAACCTCAACATCATCTTCGATGACGACGTCTTCTACAACCATGACTGGGACCACATCTACGTCCTCCTCCATTACGCAGACCACATCAACCTCTTCATCGGCTACGACGACATCAACATCTGCCACTGCAACAACATCCACAAGCTCTTCTGCGACAGCTTCTACAACGACTACTTCTTCTGCCTCAACGACGTCGAGCGTATCCTCAAGTACTTCAACAACGTCTATAAGCACCTTGAACAAACATTCAGCTTCAAAGGTCTTCCATGGTTCGTTTGCAGACAGATCTCCATTCAGGTCAGTGCCCTGCGCGCAGCGATAGAACTATCCGATGCCAGTAAGAAGCCCAGGTGCTGACAAAGTAAGCCAAGGCAAGTTTCTGTGGAGTCCGATACGCCAGTCCAGCAATTCCATTGCTGGTCAGCGAGTCGGTGAGGGCTCTAGTAGATTCAACGTTGCTCTTTCGGTTCTGCACTTCGGCCAAGGCACATCGAGAACATCATCTAGTAGCAGCTCAACTTCGACCTCTTTCACGCTGACGTCCACCTCCACTGTGTCCTCCTCGACGACAGCGTCCTCCACGACATCAACAAGTGCAACCGTGACCACCACAACGACAGCCACTTGGATGTCTCCAGAGCGCGGTTTGGTGTTGCAGCAATGCTCCTCCCCAGACGGGGGCAAGGCTTCATTAAAGACTTCATTAAAAAGTAGAGTGTCCAGGATGCCTCGATCTAGACTGCGCAGCGTGAGTAGTGGGCGTGAGCTCACGAAGTGTTACGATTGCGCCGTCCAGTCTGCATCGTGGGTCCCGGTCATGCCGTGGCTACCAAGATCACAACCACATCAACATCGACGACGTGCCAGCCTCATGTTTACTAACGCGGTTTGACTTCGGAGTCAGGACGTGAACATGGTAGAGTATTCGTGAAGAGCGGTGGAACACGGCACGTTTGACGTAGATTTTGTTGGTCCCAACGGGACGTGAATGGGTGGGCCAACAGACTTTTTTGCCAGCTCCACCTCGTCGACTTCCTTCACAACTTCAGCAACTCAGCTTGAAGTTTCGTGATTGCGAAATCGTTCGCGACTTTGCCGAACCGCTGTGCTTGTCCGAGTCGACGACCAGCACGGCCAGCACGACTTCGAGCACTAGCACCACGAGCACTTCCGCTAACGGCTCAGCTC